TGTTTATGTTTAACCTCTGACAGTCTTGGGTGTTATGATCGTGTAAAATGTATTCTGCCAGTTAGGTATGACTACATTGTGGCGCTTTGCGTGCATGCCAACGGCTAGGTATCCATTGTAAAATGCGCACAATGTTTGCATAGCAAGTTATTACAATCTTCAACTTGCTGAAGAGAAGTCTACAGCTAATTCGATACTTGAACAATTGTTGAGTCGCCTACGGCTAGATTTCGATGAGAAGACACAGGTAAAATCTAGAACAAATGTTTGACTCACCTTCCTATAACTTACCTTGCCACAAGTATATTTTATGCTCATGTTTGTTGTTCAAGTTTGCATCTAAAACTGGGGGGAGGGGGATTTGGATCCACAGGTATCCGTTGACCTTTAACCTGTGGGTCACCGAGGTCACTCGAGCGCCTGGTTCTCCTTCAAATGTCTAATTCAACACCCATAACTTGTTGTGCACAGCAAAAGACCTGAACAACATATCAAACTTTCTCACCCTTTTGACAAAAAATTTCCAGGATAAAAGAGTGGTCGAGTGACAACAAGATCATATCGAAGAGGCCACGGGTTCGATTCCTTGTATTCCTTGCTAGACGTCGTGTCCTTGAGAAAACAATTACACGACTTTTCTCACTCCATCCAGGTGTAAAGTCGGTACCTGACGTCGGATGGGGAGCTTATTAAAGGCTTATTATAGAATTTGAAGGAGAGGGATGGGCTCCGCCTTCTAATACCGTTCTCTAGACACCGTGGATAAACAACCCACTGCCCATACGTCCTCAAAAAGGCTACGGCAATATTTTTTTCTATTAAACCATGCTTCTTAGGAAGTCACTCCACATACAAGCAACTTCACTGACCTGCGTATGACCCATATAAAGCCCATATAAGCACTACCATCCGGCTCTGCATGTCCACTTTCTCACATCCGGAGGCGGTCCTAAGTACACAATAATAAACATTTCCCCACACATCTGAGGTCTTATTGCTTCCCTGCCAGTCACATAACCCGGCAATTCGCACCCGCCGATTCCTGCAGGACCGCGGTCTTACAAACTTTCGCCCAGACGCGGAGATTGAAAGTAGGTTATATCGATCGAACCGTCGGACAGACGTCCATCGACTGACGCGGAATGGACTACAATTTTCTCCGGAGTGATCATGTACTAGTTGGATGTATACAGGAAGATTGGTTCTGTTTAATAGTGCTGTATCCCTTTAGCCTGTTAACTTCCCGCAAATTCCAATTACACCAAGGCTAGCCTGCAGTGGAGTCTGTCACTGGACCTAGACAGCTAGTGGTGTGATGATGATGATTGGTTTATTGGGAGAAACTCAACACAATCTGACATAGCAGTCATTAGACTGAATTAGCGTCAGACTTTACAGAAGTTATTTCCACTATCATCTCACTTGCACAGTCATGTAGATAGTTCAATACAGGATTTTAAGATCAATTAAATGGATCAAATCTTATCACAGCTTAAAATATGTTAACACATTATAGAATATTTACAGTTCATTCAGTTCCTTTGTCATACAGAAAATACATAAAATATGCTACGGTAACCACGTTTTAAAAGTCTACAGTTCATTCAATAATTTAGTCATTGCGGAGATAGCACTGGTTTATACGCCCCGGTGTCAGTGACACAGCCAAATGGCGATTCAACTGATCAGATTGCGGTGGACGTGGTGGTTCAGGAATTATGACATTGTGCAACGACTCGAGGAAAAGCAATCCGAGGTACAGAGGGAAGACGCCCGGGGGTCCATTACTGCTGCCAGCGTGAGCTGGAGATCCCGGGTTTTAATAGGCTCTCCTCTCGTCACAAGGGAACAGCACTGGTTTATTCTTCTGGCTTTATACTGATCGGTCTTTGTCGCCACCTCTCTGATGATGAAAGCTCTGTCGTCAAGGGTGACAAAGAGGTTTAGACACATCCATGCTGAAATGTGCTGCGAGATATTCTGGTTACTAACCTTAGAACAACTGCGTTGACGCTATTCTCTGCAGAATGGCAGATGGAAGGCGTAGGTGGTGGTGTTTACGTTTCTTATGTATATTTGCATATTGGGGATTGTTAAAGTTGGAGGAGAAAAAACATGCTATAAGGCCATGTCTACTCCCAACCATTGACACTCTTTCGACATTGCAGCTTCGTGATGTTTTGTCCTATGTAAGATTAATAAAATCTAAACAACTATAATATGAACACTTTGGCGCGGCATTGCTGTACGCTAACACTGTTACAAAAGGAAAAGATCCTATAGGTTGAAGTATATCCGTCTAGATCCTGCCCATAACATTGCGGTCAGCGGTCAGCGAACTTGCGTTCAATGGGCACATTTCATCTCCACTTTTATACCATTACTAACCCCTGGATGGCTGACCCGCTGTACTGTAATGAGAAAGAAGGGAATCATTCTGTCCGATACCGATTAGTTCAACATGGCTTACGGGCCAACCGGAGCACAAGGAACCCGGGCAGAATGATTGATGCTAAAGGCAGCACTTGTCCCCAAATAGACGGTCGACATTGATCTCTAAGATGTCAAAATTTCCATAGAGAAAGCTCACGATACCAGAATCTTAAGACCTAGACTACAAAGGCATCTTTTAAAAGGTTTCTTCTGTTAGGTTGAAAGGGAATCATTATGTGAGTTACTTTAGAAATTGTCAGGAGGTTTTGCTTGTGGTTCCGGAGTTAGTTCCACATGTTAGGCACGTCGGATACACTTACAGGAAGTTAGGTCAAGTGTCCCAGAAAAGGTTATCTAATTTCTGCTATATGCATCATGCATGTCTGTTGCCTTATGAGATCCAGTGGGAAAACGCATAGACAGAATGAGCGAGGAATTCGCATTGATGAATAAAACAAGACATTCACAAAAGTTTTCACAGAGACACGAGGTCTTTGATTTTTTGTTGGTCTTTGCAATTTCTTGATCTTAGGCCATGTAGATTGCCACAGACAGGCAAAAACCATCAAGTTTCATCACGTCCAAATAACTGGTTAAGCAAAATTGGCCGACTTCAGCAAATAATTGGCGTCAGGTTTTAATCAAGAGTCATCGATTTTTGTAGCAAGCCAAGTGATTAATGCTAGCAGTTTTTCATCTTCGTCGGTTTTCATTGATTTGTGTCCCGACCTCCAATTAGTTCACGACGCTTCTGATCCCAGAAGAAAGATGGTTTGGATTAGAATATTATCAACTTGTAAGATTTGAAAACTTCGTTAAGGCCTTTGTAGTCGTTTTGGAGTAAAAAAAAGTCTTTGTAAACGGTTCTTAACATCATATGGACAGGACAAAGAAAACATATTCAAAGTTACCTTTGAATACGTAAACATAAACATAAGTGGCAGACAACCTGCGTGTGCAAAGAAAGTGTTTACTTTGTTTGGAAGTCAGTTACCTGCATCTGACACTTCAGATTATTAGTTCACTTTCTTTCCATTATGACGCTAGTATAAACACTTACTGATTCTACCTACTTGTCTACTCTCGTAGCTCATAAAACAAGTTTAACCATACACGACTTGGAAGAAGTCAGCCAAGCGAGGTATTATATGTTGTTGTAGCTAGAAGTGACTGTCAAAAGAAATGGGATTTCATAACTTATAAGCAACAAGCTGTATAAACTAATTAGTAGAGAACAAGATCGTGCAGTTACGATCATTAATATCATCACCATCCCTGCTCCGGTCCTCATTAGTGTCAGCACGAAAATCATACATCATTACCATTGTCAATATTACCTCCATTCCAATGTCACCTTTCTCCGTACGTGTACACTGCATAAGTCACAGTTATTGCCTACAAACCGTGGAGTTAATTGAGTTATGGTGTCGTGCAGTCTAACAACAACACAGCTTCTACGCGTTCTGCATGTTCAGTGTGTACGATGTATGGAAAAAACGCTGTAGGTGGGATTGGCGCCAAGAGACTTGCAACTCTGACAAGCGAAGACAAATAACACTTCTACGTGTAAAGTATTTTTTACATCTGTGCCATCCGAGGCTTATGTTCTTTCGAGTTGAAGCAGGACTTGGATTTTTTTATATTGCAGTCGTCATTCAAAATCACTTTTATATCGTCGCTGTAACTGCTTTCAAACGTCATTTCCAGGAAGTAATATTTGTGACATCTTCCTTTTCGATCCAATCATTAGGGAGACATGTTAGGACGAAGGCCGTCGTGCAATCGCCGGGTCTTCTTACAGGAGCATAAACCTCTCCCAATGATCCTGCGAAATTTGGTGCTCCTCTCGCTTCATCCGCGAATTCTACCCATCTAATTTGATTTGGACGTGAGTTGCCTATCTGTATCACATGTCCAATTATGACAGAAACAACTCAAATTCGCCTCAAGATGTAATTTGAGTGTATGTCGAGGACCGGATACATATAAACCATCGCAGAACATCGCCGATATAACCGTTTAGTCTTTCCCGTAATGAGTGGGTATATCGGGGAGCCATGGTATATTAATGACGCGACACAACAAACAGTCATTACAGAATGGTTAATGGCCTCCCACGACAGCGCGAGTCGGGCGCACACCGAGCATTAATGAGAAATCCAAGGGCACGGAAGTAATTTCTCCCAGCCTGCGCGGGTCCTGGCGAGCCACCCCGGATCCCTGATGACGGTCACTAGGACCGAGGCTGACGAATTGGACCCTGACAGTTGCTCCTATTCATCACTTTGTGGCGTGTATGCCGCCTAATCGGATTGTCCGCTCTAATCTCGCAGTCACGGTCGGGCAGCCACTCGGGGTAATTTTCGAAATGGCTCGTCCAATTTCTAACTGAATTCGCTTCGCCTTGTAATGAGCCCTGCATTAGCTGACTGCGAGAAACGGCGGGAGGCGATGATGACGATAATAACGATATTAACCCTGCCCACCCCTCCCAGGGTGTGGGCCGGCCCATCCCGACATATGCTGTAACGTGTTGCACCTTCACCACTTCTCCTCACAGTGTTTACAGCGACCATAGGTAGCTGATAAGGCCGCTCTTTTCCGCGGAAAGGTCATGTTCCTTTGACATACAAGGGCTCTAGTGGTAGTTCTGTATTGACTGCTGTATTTGTGTGTGTTATTCTCGCTACAGGAATGCGGCGACGCGCGGGCCGGGATACTCTGTTAGTGAAGAGGCTGGGCTGGTTTCTCCGCGATGGTAGAAGAGGAAGAGGGAGGGCCGATCGGCTAGACTTGTGCAAGATGTGCTGCAAGCCCGAGAGAAGGACAGGGACGCTGTTTCGGCAGTGTAGATCTCACCTACATATCACCATGGCGGTTTTACTACTTGTGTCAGTGATCCGCTATGGACTTGTTGAAGCCGCCGCCGCCCCAAGCGTGCAGACTCCGGTGGTGGACGTGGTGCACGGGAACGTCGGGGAGGACGTGACGCTACCGGTTCGCGTTCGCACGGACCACCAGGTCTTCGCGCAGACGTGGAATAAGCTGTACGGTGGTGTTCACAGCATGAGGGAAGCCGTGTACATGGACTCCCCGAGCACTGGAACAGCGATGTCGCTGGGCTCGCTGAAGGGCCGCGCATCGCTCGGGCCGGACGGGTCGCTCCGGATACATCGGGCCGGCCCGGACGACGAGGGGATGTACGTGTTATCTGTGCTGATGGACGTGGTGGGACAAAAGGAGCATTACGTGACGCTGCAGATGCACGGTAACTATATCTGTCTTAGGAAGATATATCTCGGTAGATTGAACCCTTCAAATAATGGGTGAAAGGTAGGGTATTGTTGTAAGAGTGCGACCGAATGGTCCGGTCCAATGATCCGCGTATCATAATACGATCTGGACCATTATACAGCCAAGATTTCAATTCGAACCCCCGCCACGGGCAGAGATGTACTCCATTGACCTTAAAATCCCTCAGAGTCAAATCCTACCTCTTTAATAGTAATGGTAATATTTGACACGGCTACGGTGTTATATTGCCGCATCCCCCGGGGATCTAAGTATCGACTGTCATGAATGCAGTGAATTCTTAAAGCTACTTTGTAACTATATCACCCTAATCAAAACGCTTCAGGACACCGTTGAAGAGAGGCACGATTGACGTGTAATTTTGTACAGGGATCACCCAGGTCCCCCTGTTGCTCCAGAAGGTCTGCCCATGCATCATAGCGTTCGTTTGACCCTGTTGCCGTACGCAAATATCCTCCACCTCAAGGCTCAATTTCACACACTGTACTTTCCAATACCTCTGCACGGGGATCTAGCCCCGGTCCCGCCGACATCTTGATATTAACATTAACGTGCCCGCGAGTAGCTTCCTCTTCTTGAAGCGGTCGATCGTCTGGCAGCTACGGAATTCACCTCCCAACCCCCTCCATCTTCCCGACGGTATAGAGACTCAAAGTGTTCGATTGCGTTTCTCGGCCCGCTGTCAATCAAAGGCCCGGTGAAGAATGGGGGTATTGGATTCTGGGAAAAGACCGCGGTTACGATTACTCTGCACTGTTTCGTGTCTAAAGATGGGTCATAAATTACGACTCGTCTTGCAGCTATCTACATCTCAAAAACAAATTGATAGCGTTAAACGATACCTGTAGGACGGGAAGGGTACAGCTTATGTGTCGTTAAATGCTATCAATCTTGTCCCTAAAAGTGTGATTGGAATCGGTATTTGAAGAGGCAGTACAATCAATTATAAAAACAACGATACCTAGATAGGTTAACGTTAAAACATGATTATGATGCAAGTCAAACAACCCAAAAACCAATATTTGTACATATCCACTGTATATATATATATATCACCCACTGTATATATATCATCCACTATATATATATCCACTGATGAACAACAAAAGACAAAAAGAAAAAAAGTATCCAGTATATCTTCCGTGAATATAACCAAATCAGTTGCACAATTAACAAAAGTTCGCTGCGTTCATATACATCTAGCATATATTGAATGTCTATTTTGGCCTTCCACACTCGGATAAATACATTACTGGTTTGGTTATACATATATATTATGACCAAATCAGTTGCACAGTTAACAAAAGTTCTATGCGTTCAGAATCAACATACAATAGAGAATGGAATATAGCGCAGACTTTCCACATCGCACCAGTCTAGCCATGCATGTCTAGACCATTCCAATGCGCCTTATCATCTTTCCCGTCTTTTGAGCAGGCAATGGCCACAAAAAAGGCATCGGACACGGGGCCTGGCCAGCCAGCTGCCGGCCAATCTCGCATGACACTTCACGTCTTTATCACCCAGATTGCTCCTTCATCAATCATCCCTGAAAATCAATATGGTTATGACCACTCTATTTGACTAACGACTATCGACCTTTATAGAAGCAACATTCATATATATGTCATTACCCGATAATAGCCGGCAAATACTGTATAGTCGATCTCGCGGGGAAATAGAATCCAATGAAATCGTTCGTTTGGAACGAGACAGGTGTAAGATCAACACATGGGAACTTGGCACTTGGTATAAGTCGATGAACCTGATTGGTTCGATAGAATTGATGTAATTAATGCTACCGTAGCATTTGGGAAATGCAAGGTTCTCCATCTATAGCACAATCTATGAAACCACGACAAGTTACAGCATCATTTCAATAGAGCTGTACTAGTGTTGAAATATTCTGGACGTATTTGTCGTGCGATCGAAAACTGATGGAGAGCACAGTATTCTCCGGATAGTCTGCACGAGTTGTACAAAACTCAGCCGTTTTGTTACGGAAAGGCTTTCTTGTTATTATTGGTGGTTAGGTCTGTCATAATCTGCTTGAAAATTCTACATCAAAATTGTACGACGACCTACGAATTTGGCAGCGCAGTTACGAACAACATACGAGTTATATATTTGAGAAACTCGCTTATTACAAAGTTTAGTGCATGTGGATACGCCGTGATTGTCTGATCACGTCACCAGAGCACGTTACTAAAACGACCTTCACTTTAATCATAGGAAACTCGCTCGTTTATGTGCCCTACCCAATCAGACAAGGGGATGTTAGATTGAATCCATTGACATCCCCGCATGGCCTGGTGCGTGTGTGTGACACGTCGGGTCCATTAAGGAACCGGAGACACAAGAAATAACTTCGCAAGCAGGTAGAGATGGATTTTCTTAGCGCTGACCTCATGACTTGTACCCCCACGTAACGTCTACTGGAATCTCAAAAGTTTGTGAATGTGCCAAATATATAACCAGGAATCTAGACTGTTGCTAGGCAAGCTCTTCGGCACCAGGGCCAGGGCCAACATGGCGGGGACAATGCCGAGGAAACATAGACTTCTGCCCTGGGAGAAAGAAGTGATCAGGATACAGATATCAAACCTATTCGAATGAAAGCTCGTCTGTGTTGGTAGAACCCATAGTTGTAGAGTTTAAGCTTTGTTTCAACACAGGAAAGGAACTCACCATGAATTGTGATGAGATCGACTGAAAATTCACGATGAGTTCATTTCTTGCGCTGGAAAAAACCTTGAACTCTATAACTATAATTATGAAACCTGATATAATAAGTTCTGGACTGCAGAAGGTTGCATATTCTCAAAACCCCTCGATTCCAGTGCAATAACAATCAGCGACTTATGCCCAGCTATTTGTTCCCATTATAAGAAGAACCATACTGGCCATTATGATAATTTGACGGTGTAGCGCAACAGTGTGCATAACAAGACTTGACGATGTTTAGATCCCTCCCTACTAAAATTGCTGCTATGATCGCAATTTTTGTCAGCAGGACGTTGGAAATAAGTGCTCAGTTTGCATACTACCTAGTTCAGCCATTAAAAACCACTGCTAGCTTGGGGAACGCCTGGAAAAGCACACGAAGTTTGACTGATTCGATTGGTTGAAAGACGTACGGTCCCCAAGCTGCACTTAAGCCAACTCCACAGATGTGGCCAATTGAGAAACATGCCCTCACGTCACATGTAGGATCTCACTTTTTCTACAAGTGGTCACGACTGTTCTTCTACTTCAGTTCGTAAGTGGACATCTATCGACACAGTGTAGAGGCATATGGTCAAATCACAAGTACACTGATGCTCTGTTATCCTTTATAAAAAAACCCATCCCCCAACATGGTCCAACATAGTACATGTTTTGAAGCCCTGCCATTTCTGTCAAAAACATTCTAGGCGGCAGCATGATACTGTAATTTACAATGAATGTGTTTTTAACAAAGGAAAAGCCCTCCTTTCTCGTTACAGGACTTTTACGACATCAAAATTGAATAGTAGTCTTACGGGAAAATGTCCCCTGGAGATAAACCACTTATGTTACATCGAACACAAACAAAAGGGACCATATGTTATCGGATATGCCGCTCCTATTTGCACAATGCTTGCCAGGTCCTCTATGGCCTCTTAAAACGATTGGGTCCCTTTACATCATTGGAAAGCCTCGTCAATTTTGATTTCTATTCATCAAGGCGGCAGTAGCTAGGCAGTCGTAGAGAAACAACACGATATATTGGACTTGATGTCTTCTTGGGTTACAGCATTGACAAAGCTGCCTATGGTAAACCAACACTTCAGGCCCCTGAAACAATGTCTTCGGCCCGAGTGTCTTGTCCAAGGAATTACTAACGTTGTTAAAGAAATAGCCGCAGATACATTAGCAGCGCCAACATACTGTCTGCTTTTGATGCATTTCCGTGAGAATCATTTAGTTCCAGACCGTGAAATTACCCGAACAAACACCTGATGAGTGGGACGTGCGCGGGGTGTAAGAGTAGGTACAAATTGGCCGAGTGTGTGCGCATATTCCTCCTCCTACAGTGCGGTCTAATGGTTGTAAATTGCCAGCAGAAATGTATGGGTTCCATCAGCGACTGGAAGGTAGTTACAAAACGGCGATAGCGAGGGCGAACTCGCGCGCATTCCTCGCTCTTTAATGGGTTCTGCACGGGTGTGCATGGGGAGGGGGGCAATTCTAGCTGACGGACTTCGTTTGTCAAAAGTTTCGCTATACTTGCCAGAGAACACTTTAAGTTTACCACCCACATAGCATGGGCTTCTAGCATCCATTGTTACTTCAGACCTTTAGTTTTACTGTCATGGCATTTGATGTAACCATAGAAATGATCACGTGAATATTGACATTTTCGCTCTCATTATAAGCAAGTTTGGCGGCTACAGTTTGGATATCAAGTGCCTTTGAAATGGAAAATGTTGATTTTAAGTAGTTGCAAACTTACCTCGAGCTCTGTAACTTACCTCGAATTCACCTAGCCGCAGCATGCTTGAACAAGGCCAACTATACGGCTCAGCTACTGTTTCGGTCAAAATATACTGGTTTACAGAAAGTTTTAGACGAGGCTGAATCAGGTGATATACCACCTTTGACCCCTGGGTCACCGAGGTCACTCCACCTGATTCTCCTTCAAATGTCTAATTTCACACCCAGAACTGATAGAACTTGGACATTTCCTACAATTGCAAACTATTAGATATCACAGGAAATATCTGGTACAAACGCTCCGAATATTCCACCACTTAACTTGTTAACTTGCCGACTATACGGCTCAGCTAACTGTTTCGGTCAAAATATGCTGGTTTACAGAAAAGTTTTAGACGAGGCTGAATCAGGTGATATACCACCTTTGACCCCTGGGTCACCCAGGTCACTCCACCTGCTTCTCCTTCAAATGTCTAATTTCACACCCAGAACTGATAGGACTGATAGGACATTTCCCACAACTGCAAAATATTAGGCATTACCACACATATCTGGTCCAAATAACCCAAATTCCACCGTTTAACTTGTTTATTTGATAGATCTCCATCAGTGAGTATATACATATACTGCACTATTCTTCCTAGAGTCACAAAAATTACAAATAGATAATATTACGTAGACCAATTAATACATTAAACCGCATAGCACACTAACGCATTTAACTTTGATGGAGAGGAAGACTGTCTGTGACGTAAACGTTCTATGAAATCTAGTTTACAACCTTCTCAGTCCAGACAACCCTAAGCACTAGCTAGCGCTCATCAAAATATAGCATCACTTGTTCAACTCTTTTCCCTGCAATATTTTGTACCCTTCAATCTCATCATGGATGGAAAGAATGGCCTTTATTTTCCCGCCTTTGTTTTAAACCTCCAGTGACCAATCTCTCACCAAAGACGCCGCAGCCTATTATACCTCTAATATGAAAGGGATTTCAATTACCTGCCTGTGACAATCAATAGACCAGTTGGCACGTTTCCCGTCCGTCTAACGGATTTATGACATTTGCAATAGATAGTCACAAATGCCATATATAGGAAACCGTTATAGCAACATGGCTTGAGTGCGGTATTGAGTATAAGCCGGAGTGAACATATAACCTTTCCCAAAGTATCACATAAAATTGCCGTCTCGTCTAACAAATAACCGAATATTGAGAAGGATTTTGTTATTTGTTTTATGTTTTTCATGGTATGTCTGATTTTCATCGTCCTTGTTTTATCTTGCATGCCAGTCAAATGGGTTCATTGCCAGGTCACCTATAGCTAACAATAGCGCTGGTATTGTGGCTGTGAACTGACCCGGGTCTGGACCGGGACCTTGAATATGGGCTGTCCCGACCAGGCTGTTGTTTTATGAACTGATTTACGCAAGTCCCAACATGCACGACGGTACAGTAGATAGGCATGCACGGATGCTCGTTTGTCATTGTCGGCGACAGACGCCATATAATGCAGGTATAGTTTAACAACGTTTCATTCAGTTCTGCTTGGTGCGCATGTAATAAAAAAGGGCGCAGTGGGAGCTTTTGGGGGATCGCCAATATAGACGCCGCCATGGAGGCTCCGGGTCACATCTTGGGTCACCAGTATCACGAATGTACCAAGGCGTAAAAAGTGTATCTTTGGCTGCAGCCCAGGTTAACAAATTGTCGCAGGATATACAAGATAGCTACAGCATTCTGACAACTAGTGTACAGTGGAACTGCAAGTATTGGATTCTATCATTACTTTGAGACACCGCCTGGAGTTAGATGTGCAAAGCTCAGGTGCTGTATACAGTATCGGTCCGGCGATGTAATATATAACCAGGTACTGCCGCGCCCCTGCAAAGCTGGCGTGTTACTCCGAATAGCGGTTATATAGGCTATGTACAATACAGATATTATAGAAAACAGATATACACATGTGGGGCGTATCATGTATGGCATAGTGTCCCAGATATTAGGCTTAAGCCCCTGCACGTCGGGGGCATTCCTTTGGTACCAGGAGGCTTACCCTCTTTTTTGCATGACGACACAGAGTCGATAGTGTTCGATCTGTTTTCTAAGGTCCTTTATTGACCAGGCGACCAGGGACACACGGAGATACACATGCACACCTCAGTGTCGAGTTATACTTGCTGATATCGGAAGAATAGATTTCTCGGGTCGTGTATTGACCGTGCGGCCTTGTGCGGATACAGTTGCCTTGTAATGGCCTACTTGAAAAACAACACGCGTTTTACCCTCGAGCGCAAAGGTTTTAGAATGTACTGATTAAAAACGTAAAGACTTGTTTTACTTCCTTAATTCATGACAGGGTTTTGAGGGGCTCGCGACCTTTGGGATTGATGATAGGATATAAAAATGGTAGTTTGAATGAAAGAATATTCTTTGTGTTTGAGTATCTAGTGGAAACGATCGTATTTCCAGGGAATTCAGTCTAGACACCTGTACCTATCAAACAATCACAGCCCCCTCCCAATAATACCGTCACTACCACCGCCTTTTGTAAAACACTGTCATTACGGGAATAGCTCTGTCGCAGCCTCAGGAGCGTCATATATGACGTACACACACTCAATCTATGACAGTTAAAAGAAGACGCGGTACATCTGGCTCATAACTCTAGCGGGGCGGCACGGCAAGAATCGATCCCTCTCCCCAGTGCGGTAATACCATTCCGCCAGGCAGTGATGGACCTAACCCCTACAATTTACACTCCATATACCCCGCAGGGCGTCCCCAGAATAGAGAGAAATCGGTGATGATATCTTTGATTGAGCGGGTAAAAGCCCTACAAGTGTGTGGAGATCGTTGTCGATATCATCCTACGGGGGAAACTATAACCTTTATCACGAAGGACATCGCTCTCATTGGTCAGACGTAATGGTTTGTGTCCACTGTATCAATTACTGTCACACACGACGAGAAATAGAGCAGAACGTGCTGCGACGAATGCCACTATAAATTCAGTGCTACATTGCGTTATTATTTGGTATTCAAACCTTGGTTGGAATTATGATGAAGGCAGTGTTTTCATCTTTATAAACCACAAATTGTTTAGCTCTAGAAATCTCCCCTTAGCTTGAGACATGAAGCTGTGCAATCACTACAGCAGGGGGCTAGACTGCTGACGCAAGTCATGATGTTGACATCGTACATGTAGCTCCAGTACATCATGTTTACCTTTAAACATATTGGTTTTGCCCCGTTTTCCTTGTCTTCTTCCGTTCCAAACAAATAAGGTCAATGACCTGGACCAAACGGCTGTCACCATGGTAATTGGTGCTGCAGAAGACACCATGTGGTGTTGGGTAACACTATTTGGCAAGTGTCAGGAGAGAGTTGGGGGGGGTACCATTATACCATGTTCAAGGATTGTAGTAAGACTAGTATTAAAGTAGGACTAAATGTATGTAAGTTCAAGACAGAGCAGTAGTTTGTTATGCTTTGCAAACGTCTCCATATCGAACCTGTGTCAGTGTGTGACTTAAAACTGACAACATACTCTCTGTCATACTCTCCAGTCCCCCCTCAGGTTGACTTTAGTGAGCCCAGCCCTCTCCACGCCATGCAGAACAGCCTGGTCACGCTAAACTGCACCGTGAGACACTCCAGCGTCCTGCTACAAGACGTCCAGTGGAAAAAGGACGGCTCACAACTCTGGGAACGACGGACGGCAAATCAACAACACCATGGCAACGGCCAATGGATGGATGTCATGACGTACACAGAAAGTGATGACGTACTGACGTCGGTGCTGACGTTTCAGGCGGTGAAGAGGGAAGACAGCGGCAACTACACTTGTCATGCGCACCACAGAGGAGGGATTGTTGTCGCAAGTTTATTTCTTGAAGTATTCTGTAAGTATCTCTTTGTTATAAATAAAATATTCTTACTTTTACTCTGCAGGAACAATCTTAGAACCCTGAAATTTAACTCTTTACATTATATCAATTTTTTTACCACTAAGCTGTAAAGATATGTCTCTCATTTCAATGATTCTGAAGTAAACTTCTTTGAAATATGGACTTTCCTGTACACGTGTAACAAACTTAATGAACAATAAACATATCTGCCAAATGTAATAACGAAACAAAGGGAATGACATATATAGTCATAAAGGCCCTCATGCAAACATCATAAACGTTATATTGATTGTAATGATAATGTCGAAATTGATTAAATGGCGACGGATAGAATACAGTCGAGAGTAAGAGCGTTTATTGCACTTTAGTAGATCTGGTGCCTTAAAATAGCGTTGAACGTATTTTAACGTTTTATGGCTCTGGCTACGTAGTTCTGACTGATTTGACATTTTATGCAGTTCTATTTTTAGGCCGCCGTGGGTTGTCTCGAGGGCATCTTTGCGTAGTGTAGATGGGACGCAAGACTGGTACAAAAATTGATCAATATCGTGTGCAACATTATGTAACGTGATTTGGCTTTGATCCAACGTAACAAAGATAAGTTAGTCAGAGAAACTGTTGATTTGTGCATGGTGCCATAATCTCCAAGCAGATCCAGCTCAGTCTAAGTACCTTACGCGGTTGTTTTTGCAGAAAGTACATCTTTTTAGAGGTCCATGCGTTAGCCTTAAGGTCGAAACCTTACCACGTAAAAGAACCTAGCACATTTATCGAGATGAGTGGGGTGGCCTGGTGTGCTTCGCTATAAACGCGAGCTGTTGCTAAGCCGCATTGCATAATGCTTCACCTCAGTTGAAGATAGGCAGAATTTACTAGATAGGCACGGTTCTCATGATTAGTGATTAGGATAGTGACATTCAATCCGTACAGTGATGACAGACAGAATATCTCATTACCCTAACGCCCCCCTCCCACAGGGCCTGCTCTTGACCCATCTCCTCCTAGCTAACTTCATTCTGACACATTCCATGACCCTGGCGGCTCCTGCCGTGTTTATTATCATATATTAGCATCAGACGTCGTAACGTTGACAGTTTTACTACCATCCCGCATCCTTAAGGGTTAATGCAAAGGTAAAGTGAATGCCATTTGCAATAATAAGTTATTTATATCATTGCCCGTTAACCAGCGGGTTGTGTCGTTTCGGTATAAGGTTTATATATATTGTGTGTTGTCATAGTCTAGACTACTTAGAGGAAAACTTTGCTGTGATGAAATATACTACATATGCAAAATGAACCCACTCATCAGTTATAATAAAAAGAAATATAGCTCCATGTTCTTCATGTACCTAATGGTAAACATGAACATAACTTTCCTGCAAGTTTAGTGCAGCTATAAAGTTGTAGTAAGATTATACTTTCATTACTTTACGTCTGTAATGCAATTTAAAACTGCACTTCATTTTACTTCCAGCACACGAAGGAGTCGTTGGACGTCTAGATTCAAACGCCCCGCCCGTAACACCCAATCAGTGGTCGCCCTGATAACCTCATTAAGAAAGCTAATCCCATAATAGCATCAATCATACATGCCTAATTTGTCTTTCCGAGAATCTGTCAGCTCCTCCATCACACAAGCAGGTCAATGGCCTCAAGTGGCCTACAGTTTTCTAAAAATAGGCCATTGGAGCCCGCTAGGGGTAGAAAACGGATATAGACTAAAGTACAAGATAGTCGCTCTCAACAGTGATAATGATATACATAGTTGCAGGGACATTATATAGTTTCCTTGATATTTCATATTAGTTTGTGTCATGTTTTATTAGTTTTTGTCAGGTACACTCCAAGACTATTGCTTGATGTGGATTCTCTCTATATATCCAGAAACATATGTCTTTGATCATTTATGATATATATCTTGAATACCAATCGATGATCAAAAAATATCATTGAGACTTACTTTCTTACAAATGGGTAGCACAGAAGTAATGTAGGGTCGTGAATCGTTTTGTCTTAGAGGTAGTTTTGAAACTGTTGATTATTGGCTGCGTGTCACCCTTGAGACTTCATCACGAATCGAATGTTCTTCTCGGATTACCGGGGATTAGAGCGGTTGCCGTGTTCGACTGACGGCAATTACCTGTCCAAATTGCCTCCCAGTCGATAAAGGCGCGTGTGTGCAACGACTCCGACTTCTTATTCATCCGCCGAACTACTTTATCATCCCCCGCGCAAAACCCCCGCCATTTACAGAACAAAGCTCGGCTGCCGAAAATCAGGATGACGACCCCGGCTCCCAGCTTTGATTGTAATCTCTCAAAGGGTAAGGACGAGGAGGACTAATCGTCTCTTTCGGAGACAGTGGGTCGTCCGTTAATGGAGATGAAATCACGGCGGCATACAAAGGCGAAACCGTGGAGAATTGATGGTGTCCACGGAGACAACATCTATTGAAGATGGGCTACGGTTTTCCTATCGTCGCTAGATAATAGACCCCGGCATAACATTTCCCCGGGAAGCTATGGAGTAAATAACCGTTCATTATGCCGTCGGTTAAACGTTTTATTAGGTGTTATTGAAAGCTACCTTCCGGCCAATTGCCTCCCTATGAAGCTATGCGATGATGCGGGCAGAATCTGTTGTAAAATGTACATCGTAGTAAAAGAGACTGTTTGGGAAATACAAGCATACAGTTGTGTTTTACAGGCACTATTCTTTTATCAGCATTTTGACGGTCTTGTTTTTTTCCAACATTTTATTACTGTTGAGGGGTTATGACTTGTGACCTAAAGACCACCTTTGGTATCACGTTATTTTACTCGCGTTCAATCGTATATATAATATGAGTCATCCATAACTCTATGTCTGGCTCTTGTCACAGATGAAAGGATAGTTAGGAGCTCGTTGACTCACTAAGTGATCGATCCACGTTCACTCAAAGGTTTACATAGCTTAATTGACTCATCACATATTTTGTAGGTTAGCTGAGGATAGCTGTAACTTCCGATTTGCTTTGGCTTCGCTCAACTATTGAGTCTGCGTGCGTGTTTTTGTGAGCAGCATAATATCAGCTCAGAAGAGCGGTCGAGGATCGTTATAATGTTTGGTATGCGGGTAGGTGCTCGCAAAACAAAGTGCGCATTCGATTATGGGTCTCCTAGCGACTTTCTATTGCACTGTAGCAGAACTTTCAGGTTTGATACCTTGTACGGTGTATTACCAATGCATCAGCGGTTGATAACTAATCCTAACTTTATGTATCTCAATAGAGATTGCATCCTGCTTTTCCTGCATCTACCTTGAAGATGTATGATGTTGACAATAACTGCAGGCAAGAGTTGCCAAGCTCCCCAGTCATATCTACCATGATATTCGATTCCTCAGTTTTCTCTCAGGGTGTATTTTAAGGCTGACAGTCTTATTGCTTCTTGTGAATTTTCACAGATTCTGCCAAGATTATCAACATCTCGGAATCCCCGCAGCTTGTGTTAGAGAACGCGAACGTGACGCTAGACTGTGTAGCTGAAGGAAACCCCCCTCCCATCCTGTCATGGCACAAAGATGGCGACTACTCCTCCCTCAAATCCACCTTCTCGGACGCCGGCTGGCACAGGGAGCGCGTCGGGCGCCTGAACCTGACCCTGCTGAGGTTCCGGGAGGGGGATAGCGGCGTCTACACGTGCGAGGCGACCAACGGCGTGCCGAGCGGCAGGAAGGACAACAAGAGTGTGCTTGTCGCTATGATGCAGGTCAAGGCGATCACGGCACCAGGGCCGGAGACGGAAGCCGAAAATGCAATAATCGGTAAGATTTAAGGCCTCTTTTGTAGGAGCAAAATTTCATAAATTGTTGTAAAAGGACACATTATTACAGGAACACTATTTCAGTTTAGTTTGGGGCGCCCTAACAACAGGTGCCATTGATATCTATGTAACGTTTAGTCTTGTAAGGGAATTTTGTAACTTTTATTATTGCTTTGTTTGTTTCCTTTGTTCCAGAAGAATTGGTCTTAATTTATGGCTGTCAGGTAGTGACAATCAAAGCTTTAAATACATTCCCTTTCTTACCTGTACAGTTGAGAGAGACCCCTCCACGCCAAACGACGTGTACCAACAAGGTGGAGAAATAGACAATGACTTCTACAGTACCTTGGTGACTGTTGGGATCGTCACAGTGACCGCGCTCTCTCTGCTCTTACTTCTCGCTGTGGGTTTTCTCTTGTGTCGGAGGAAGAAAGCCGTCGGGACAAAAATCCTGAAGACAAACATCAGACGAGACGTCGTCAGACACAGACATTTGGGGCAAAGCAGAGAGGTTGAAGTTTATCGGTGACCGCTTTTCTTTACTGCGGTGCCAAAAGGAACGTTCTCAACAATAAGCCACCTCATTGTATGGTGCATTGTGGTCTAGGGTCAAAGTTTAAGGCCCCTGGTTATTCTTTATCTATATGCTAAGAGCCTTGAACGTTCACCTCAGACCACAATGCATCACACTGCAAATGCGCACTTGGAACTGTGAACTGGCTTATACTGCTGGACCAAATCCCGCGGAAACAACATCAACACAGTCAAGAGGTGATATTTTCGGAGAGGCGAAGAATGCCCCAAGACAAAGAGACTACGACATACGACTAATTACGAATAGTCGTAATACAGAACCGGACACTCGAGAGCATTGTCCTTTATTTTTTTGCGCACTTTTTTCGAAGTGTCTTTGATGAACAAAAAACTCTGTGAGCAAGGGTTGCAATTGTGCCTTGTTAGTTGCGGTGTCTTGCTATATCACTCTCAGTCAACTTGCAATCTTCAACCAACCCCCTCTGTTTCTTTGAGGGTGTGGACTACCTTCTAGCTTTGTTCTCACAGTTGTAGTCATTGTCGATTGCAAGGGGAAAATAATTATTAATGCTGAGCATTCTGTGGTGGCGTTGGTATTTCAATGCTGTGTTTGTGAAGATGCGTTTGGATGCATTCCTTGTTCGTCAGATATTGTGCTTCGTTGAAGGTCTGTTCCATATCCGTCTAATACAGGATCGTTGACGATTTTGATGACACTTGATGGAAGCTAATAAATATTCATTATGATATAAGATTTGAACATTTCTAATTTATCTATGAACTTAATTAAGTTAAGCAATCCATACAATCGTATAGCTAACGTAAACAATGATAAGAACACATCACTAGTAGACCTAAGAACAAGAGCTTTTGGTGAAAAGACATGGCAAACACAGCACAACAGCAATACACTGTGAGTGAGTAAGTGAGTGAGTGAGTGAGTTAGTGAGTGAGTTAGTGAGTGAGGTGTCTAATCATTAGACATCTCACTCACTCACTCACTCACTCACTCACTCACTCACTCACTCACTCACTCACTCACTCACTCACTCACTCACTCACTCACTCACTCACTCACATGATCACACCACAGAACTATAACCTACCTTTGCCTGCTGATTCCCATTAGAACAGACGTGGTAACAAATGTGCTGTTGTACCGCACCAGACGCTGTGCCAATTGTACCCGGCGCCATGTCGAGGCGACAGCCGGATCTCTCGCCGATTCCCCAGCCGGCTCGTGATGGATGCTCCACTCTACTGTCACTTTAGACGTCACACCGCGGGCTACTGAAGTCTCCTCCTCGTTTCTCCCAGTCAATATAGAAGTCCTTTCCATTTCAAGATGGAAGACGGCTGACCTGTACGACGTACAAAGTACCTATATGCAAAATTTTGCGTGAATTTGAATATAAAAGAGCAACACGTTTTCAACTCCTTGACCCTGATTCGTTTAGTTACCTTCGCCTAATCTCCACCAGACTCCTTTGCAGGCAGAATAAATGGTAGAAATCGCCTAAAAAGATTGTAGCTGGCCAGGTGATTTGGCCGGCCATAGAGGGTCCAGTTTGCCTGCATCTATGTCAGCTACATTCTTTTGGGGCCGATGTAATTTTCTACTATTTATTCAGCCTGTAAAGGAGTCTGGCGGAGACTAACCTTCGCCAACAAGGTTATGTTTTGGTAACGTCCGTGATTGGCTTTGTTTGTTTTACAGCATAACTCAACAAGGTATGGATGGATTGTCATGATAGTTAGTATGTGGGTAGATGGCAACAAAAGAAACTATTCCTATCCCCAGAACTACCAATACAAGCTCAGGATTCTCTGTCACCGTGGAAACCAGTAATCATAATCTCCAACTCTATGGTAACAGACAGTCTTACGAGTACAATAATCGGTCCATGTTAGTATGTATATATAGATCAACAGGATTAAGATGTACCCGATTCTCCGGAATCAGAAGAGTTGGCCATCAAGCCATTATGAGCCTGGCCAGTGGAAGGGCTGCCAGAAGCGTGATGTAGTCAGTCTATGGGCCTGGCCAGTGGAAGGTCTGCCAGAGTCATGATGTAGTCAGGCTGCATTATATATGGGACGTAACCAGATCCCGTAATGTAACAGGAAATGACAGAAAACATGCGCCTTTTTCTTATGGACATCATTACCAGTAAAGTGCTATCATTCTTTACATAAGCAGATCAAAGCCAGGCCGGAGCAGCGCCATTATGGGCTTCCTAACTATGTTCTTCCTGTGTTTTTATGAGCGGCTAGGCGAGTAATGGGTCCACACATGCGTCTTCTATAACCAGAAACCCTAATGCTCAGTCATTGTTGAACTACAACCTCCGCTAGCCGGAAGCTATTTCTCAACATTGTTCGCCTATACACACACATCCAGCTCTTAGAGTCCATCATCCATATTCCAATACGCCGAATGTCGTCACTGAAAGACGCCGGCCTATTCAGGATTTTCAGGACAAAGTATACTTATTCCACAGCTATCTCTGGAAAGTAATCATAGAGCAGTGCAAACACATATCTATCTATGGTGATGCATTTCTTTCATTATTTGTGCAGATAGACAAACGTGTTTAGCTGTGCGGTCACAACGAATAGGCAAAGGATATCCACATTATTCAAAGCAGATGTTTCAGATATTATACAAATATTGATGGATACAATGAAACCGGGATTAAACATTCCCTTTGAAAACGACTGGAGCAGATATAGTCAATTAGCATGCGGCATTCGTATCTATGTGCACGTATTAAATGTTACTTGAGTTTGACGTCTATGATCATTACGAGCACTTTATGTCGTGACAAGCGAACTCATTAGACTCCGCGCGTACGGCTTACATCAGCCGCACGTAATGAACAACGTGTTTCACAACGTGTCTCAAAGGTAAGGCCACACCGACTTAATTTATGGATGACATCCTCTGAAGACCCCCAAACTAGTGCGCGCGGGCGAATAAAAAAAATTTCGGCCAAAAATAAAAATGCTACTAAACCAAAGGAATACAAAGCTGGTATTTTGGTATTATTTTGGTATGGTATTCTGGTATTATGGTGAATTTGCATCGGTACATAGCGACGTATATGACAAGCCGGCACATGCTGGCTTTTTGCGGAGTTTATGAATCGGGACTGTACGAATGTACTGATTTCTTGAGTCGTGGAGCTTCGGTAGCCTGGGTGCCGGGCTCCGTATTGTCGCTAACTACCATGCACTACCCAGCTCTAGAGGCAGGCCAGAGCCTCGGAGGACGTGATCATTATTTTTTTTAGAACAGGCGAAAATCAATGCGCGCGCGGATGTCATCCATAAAATTAAGTCGGTGTGGCCTAATAGTGCGGGCCCGCATCAGCACACACTGTACAGTCGTGATGACTTGCCTCTCGGTTGTTGCAATGCGCACACCATCTTCTGAGCCGCAGGGAAGCGTCGCTTTCCATTAGAGAGTTGAAAGCGGAGATACGATCGAACCGACGGCCGTTGTAAAAGAGGCTGCGAACTTGCCGCCTAAGATTGATCTTTGGCGGGTAATAGGCTTGTATGTTACTTCATTACCCAAGTACAACTTTTACGGTGCGGCAACTAAGCCTGGTAGGGCTGGGATAGAACATGTTAGGGTTTCACGTGACTTGTTTGGGACATTTTGCTTCATATAGATGGAGAAATAATAGACAGAGAGGGAGATGAAATTGGTCGAGTTGAAGAAGGAATCTAGAAATAGACGTGCAAGGAGTTTTAGATGACGATTGGAGAGTTTTCATTGTCATTTTTCTGCTCTACAAATCCCATATCCGAGACACAGAGATATCGATAGTTCTGAAATGTATACACTTCTGTTGGGCCCCGACGCTAACAATTCCTATGGAATAAACAAACGCACGTAGTTTGTATAGTCGTAGACCCACGGGCGTACGAGTTTTTATTGTCACATGTAATTACTCTGTGTGATTGCCCATGCTGGGAGCATTATTCCACAAACAGTAGGCCGTACTAAGATCCTGACAGGTTAATTATTAGCAATAAACGGGGCTTAATGCGGATTTCTAACCTCAGGGCAGGTGATTATTGCAAAAGTATATTCCCCTCGGGTCTTCATGTGACAAGTTAAAGACCTGAGTGAAGTTTCATCGGTTGAAACAGACGAATAACGCTAACATTGAAGCGCTCTCTTGTTTTCCTTTGTCTGCTAGTGCCTAAGAAAATGTGTTTTATAAACCAAAGGTGATACCCCCGGGTCTTCATGTGACAAGTTTAAGACCTGAATTAATTTTAATCTGTTTAAACAGACGTATAACGCTAACATTGAAGCTCTTTCTTGTTTTCCTTTGTCTGCTATTGACAGTGTGCAGGCGGTTGAAGAAAATGTGTTTTTGTAACCCAAAGGTGATCCCGGCTGCAGCGGTAAATCATGGCGCTCTTTTGAAAAGTTCAATGTCCCTCCTGAGATGGAATGTCAGGTCAGGTCTGGACCGGGTGGCAGCCTGCAAAGGTGTGTAGGGAGATAAATCACATCATCCAATACCACCTCTGCACCGGGGAGGTAATGTAGGGCCGCGTCCATCATTACGGGTTTGTTCTCCAAGTAGATGTTATTATCCTTATATAAGCCACTGACGACACTCAACACATGCTCTATTCTCAGGGACAACAATGTATATTTGGAGGTCTGAAGCTGTAGTATTAAACCCAAACGATCTGAAATTCGGTATGGATGTGTGTGTGTGTGTCAATGTTTGCTATCAACACACGAACATTGCCTTTAGACTCTTTTGCAACAGTGAATATGCCATAAAGACAATTCACTCACTCACTCACTAACTCACTCACCCACTCCCTCATTTATTCATTCATCCATCCATTTATTAAGTCGCTATATTGGAAAATTGCATAGATAACAGCAAGAGTGGACTAATTAAAAGCGATATTATGTGCAGGCTGTAGAAAAAAGTTTATTGGCCACATTTTATTGCCGTGGCATTTCCAAACCTATCTGATATGCGACGCTGATCACGGAGGGACTTAAGAAAGTTATTTCCATCGACATTTTGAAACGTGACTTGTTTATAGAAGAAAAACTTTTTTATTTCATTAATGTTAGTTAGACTAGAATGCCTCAAGCAAGATACCGTCAACATACTAATACAGCCGTATTTGGCAAGATGGGGTGCACTTGCATTATGTAGTTTCCACTCTTGTTGGGCTGGATTTTATAGTTTATAGCTAATATAAACCTCGCCAAATGAACGTTTCGAAATCGCTAGACCAAGTTGGATTGATGTGTCATTGTGATGACTTTCCTGAATGGAGCTATTGAGCTACAGTCATATCTTAGTCCAGGCAGCGCTGATTAATAATTTCACATCCCAGTTCCGAAAAGCCCAAACGAAGAGCTATTCCGACTGTTTCTTCGCTTGATTAACCGGATTCATATCTTTGCCAAAATGAGTTCTCTTCAAAATCTCTCCCCCGTAATCCCGCCTAGCTCCGCGCACAAAAGACTCGGCCATTAAGGCGGAAGAAGGCCCGTCACGGCTGGCAAGATGAATGGTTACTGCCTATGAACGTGTTCATTAGTTCAGCAGAAAGGGATGTTTATCGTTTGCGTGCTCAGACTGACAGCTACATAATTGGCGCCGCTATCACAGCGCCGGGCTCTTTAACTCACTTCTCTTTTGATGTGACAGCTGAACGATTGTGGCATTTATCCACAGCTCCGAATGTAATATGAACTCCTAATTGATATGATTGTTCGCTAATGTGCTGTCCCGTTCGTGTATGCCATCAACATTGACATCCACCTTCTTGGTGGGGAGGGGGGCATTGCAATCGCAAATTACGACCTACAAATTCGTTTGTTCTAATGGTTGCAACTGATAAAAGTCTTACAATGCTAATGCCACAACAGAAAATTCCTCCAACCATTACGCCAGAGCCCCAGAACTTAGGTTGAACCGAGACGGCGGCAGGTATACATGTTGACCTCCAGGCACCTTTGACCCCCCCTCCTGACGTCACACATCCCATTGGTCAGTGCGCGCCAGGTTAGTGGGTCAAATTCCTGACGAAGGTCGATGGTCACGGTCGAAACATCGGTGTTATTCCCTTGTATGAGATAAAAGCAAAACACACGCGAAAGACTTACTTATAATCAGTCTATTCTATAGACCACCATTTCCCTCCCAGGCTTCCCCATTCATTCCAGGAGTACGTATCCGTAAGATGTCATCGATACACACAGGCTGCTAAGCAGATTCAATCAACACAATGAGCTTCAGCCATAATAAATCCTGGTGCGACCTGCACATAACAGACTGTATGCCACTCTTAACCCCCTGAAAAGTTCAGCCAGCCCCCTGGGACTCTGCAGCAGAGTTCAGGAGGACTCCCTGACATTTGATAAAGGGCACTGGGAAAAATTTATAGACGTATTTCTCTGTAGTTCGGTCTGGCCAAATGTGTACAAACGGAACCACCATCACTTAGCAGATTAACCATACGCATCTTCCCGTAATGCAACGTTCTTTCAAATGTTTGGACCGTTGGCCACTGTTTTCCATCATGGGAAATTAGAGCTAGACATTATATATCATAATCAGCCACCTGAAGACAGTAGCCTATAGGCTCACAAAACATGTTATATTTCATCTGTACATCCACACAACAACCATAGGCTGTTGTTATCCTATGATCCATGATCTAACAGACAGAATCCAAATATAGTCTCTGAATGATTGTAAGTGTACATTTATCGTCCTGTGGATTAAGTGAGTGCAAAGTTACTTGAGTATGCTTGCAAAAACATTTCTGTTACGTTTGCGCGCGACAGTTGGGATACCACAAAACCACAGCATCAAACAGTCACTTTGCTACATACGGTATGCCAATATTACAGATTCTTCTTTAGGGCCTAGGCACATTCGTCGTATTATCATTGTGCGATCGCAAATTGAGGGCATCCCTTGGTTAATAGAACATTTAATCTCCTAGCAGATCATACGGTGGCTAATGGACACTTCTCTGGCCACTGGATACTGCCTGGCCACCTTATGATCTGCATGGACATTACAACATTCAGCGCTGTCTTGTTATCGAAAATGCAGTCTTAGATCTCTGTCATCGCCTAGCATTCTATCATGGCCTGCATGTCACGGCTCCTACGACATGAAAGTCGAACGGCGACTTACGACGAATGTGACGGCTTCCAAAAAACACAAGAGTTTTCCCTGTTACTAGACCACGATAACTTTACGGCAACTTCAGAAACACAACGATATAACCATAAGCAACAACATAAATCAGACTCCACTGCCTAATGATGTAGTCACACCATCCTATTTGCTTGTCTTTGTCCGAGATTTGGTCCGTTCGCCCTTTTCCTTATTCTTTATTTTTTTATTGTTTTATCCTTTTTCTACAAAGTCTTTTCGCAAATCAATTGCCAATTTCATTATCGGTAAACATTTGCGTATACGTCAGGGTTCAGCGGTCTGTGTCTGATGACGTCACCGCTGATGTGGGTCCGCATGACCTTGGTGGATGAACTTGTCCTTCGGCAGAGCAGCGCGGCGACGATCATGAGCAGGAGGAGGGAGAAGGCGGTCACGGTCACGATCCCCACCGTCACGAACGTGGCGTAGAACGGGTCGTCTGCTTCCAGGTTCCCGTCGGGAGGTTCCACTTCATGGACGGGGGGTCTAACCTCCACCGCGGGGGGTTGAACCTCCTGGATTGGGGGTGGCTTAGCCTCTTGGACTGGAGGTAAGGACTCCTTCTCTTCTATTGTTGGAATCTGGACAGCAACTAAATCATTGAAGAAGACATTAAGGTTAACATTAAAGGTAACGACCCACTGTCCCCTAAATGCTTACAATGACATAACGCATGGTCAGTGACCTATACCACTGAATAAACCACCGAGTGAGCGAAGTGACCATACAGCCAATTCAAACTGGCACTTACGTTCAATTAGACAATTATACAAAGCCAGCCGGCCATAGTAGGACAAATTAGCCAGCTATATATCACTTTCTAGGACGAATTCGATTATTTATTCAGCTGCAAAGGTGTCTGCTGGAGACTAACAACGCTGCCTTGACCTTTGAAAAATCTAGCGAAACAGTAACTGGATCGTGGATAGAATAAAGTAAGCGAACCAGATGCATGCAATGAGCAATATATCGTCCTAGTAAGGCTTACATGAGGAACATAGGCGTAATGAGTAATCGCCTTGAGTACCTGTAGTTGTGATGGTGTTTGGCTCTGTCTTTGGTCTGGGGGAGCTGATCATCATGACTGGAGAGGGAGGATACGTGCCCGCAGCCTTCAACACGTAAATCTGCACAGTTCTCTGATCGTTCTTGCCCATAGGGACTCCATTGGTAGCAACGCACGTGTAGTTTCCGCTGGCGTTCTCGTCAAGTTTCATCAAAGTCAAGTTCAAGCGCCCCGTTTCGCCGTTGGCGTCTGAGAAAGTGGACGTGAGGGGCTGGGGGTCGTCGTCTTTGTGCCAGGCGAGGATTGGTGGAGGGTTGCCCTGGGCGACACATTCCAGCGTGACGTTACTTCCGGCGGAAACCACCTGTGGCGAGTCCGAGATGTTGGTGATCTTTGCAGCATCTGCAGCGGCAGCGATGGACAAAATATTTGTGAACAAAATGTGTGTCTTACAAAAAAGCGTAGTGATTCTTGCGGTATGATGGGCACACTATCATTGATTCAACTATGCGTCTTGTAACCTCTCATACGAAGTAATTAAATTGACATTTATATGCATGAATGCGAACTATTGAGGCGAAGTTGTTATGAAAATGACTTGCAATGCAAAGCGTATACATTGCTGATTCCAGATTGTCTCGAAAACATCGGCCCCTTTTACAGTAAGTGTGGACTATAAATTGAGCGGAAGAAACCGATTTTTCTGGCGTCAAAGTTATGGGTTGTCTGAAGGTACCATTAACGGACATTAGCCTGCTGTTTAAGGGAAATGTATGGCCCATTTTCAACACTTGTCTCTCATTTTCATTCCGTCCATTCTACACGCACCATTAATTGTTGCTTAATGGAGGGCGTGTTCATGGATCCATCAATTCTCGCGAGATGTGCGCTCTCGAGATTTCATCACCAATCTTCGCCTGCCAAAACTGGTCATTACATTTAAACTAGAAATTACGCCGACGTAAAGCGCGAGATAACGATAGTGTTTTATGCAGGAACGGTCGCTTTGTTCTGCTAATGGTGTTTTTTTGTGACGGGATCTTACGGCGAGGGATGAATGCTAAGCTTGGATTGTTGGATGTCCTATCGCGTCGGTAGCAATTTGGCGCGGTAATTGGTGAAATGTCTCGAGTGGCGCCCATGGCTTGCTATCGTGATAAGTAAGACTGCCACGGCGTTCAGCAACTCGCGTTAAGATGGCTGTTAAAAAGTTCCAGGCGACTGCAAAACCCGTAACGCAAATTTGATAGATGACCGTAAACCGTTGGTTTAAACGAGGATTACAAATTGCTAACACTAATTTGGATGTAAATTTGGGCTAATCGTATTCTCTTACGCAACAGTCCACGTCGTAAGTAAGTTACCGAGCTCAAATTCCTATGCTATTTTCATTCTAGGAAACATTGGTCTTTTTCAAATTGTGTTGCGAAAAATGGCACTCCAGACGATTTGCGACAAATTTATACGACGAGTTTTCCAATGTTGAAAGAAATTGCGGTCTAAATATTACAAATTGTTGAAATTGTCGTCTCTGAATATTGCAAATTGTTCGAATTGTCGTCAAACTGTTCCTCGTTAAATGTCGTATCACCGTAGCTTCCCTGACTATTATTATATTTTCCCTTTTATAATGATGCCATAGTTATGTATTATAGTATAACAACGCAATTGTTATGTCCTATACCATAAAGAGGAACTTATTACGTTGCTTTTCATCCTAAAGATATATTAGATGATAAGGCCTATACCGTAGCATGGGATCTACATAGATTGGCCGATAAAAGGAATTATTACCCTTTATTCATTTCTTTCTATTTTGGTTGGTTGTGACATTAACAACGTGCGTCCGTATGCTTCGTCTCTGATGTGATTTACTTTCACTTTTACGATGCGTCTCGTAACGTAACGGTGTTTCATCACTCTCCCTTTCACTGCATCCGCCTGATTCATCCCTCATAAAATTCACGCGGATAGTCGATGCGACGTCGGTAATAATTTTCTCCCATTTTTATTTCCAACTCGAAAAAAACCTCTGCCTTCATTTTGAAGACTTGAATAGAAATTCCCTGCGACAGGATTTAGAAGATTAGTGTTATTCTCGCATGATGTGGATTATAACAAGGGGATCAGGTGGTATGACGAAACTAGGATTAGACCCTACGGTAAATCTGCTCCAGAAATAGATGCCGACTCGTCGGGTAATAAAAATTCGATCCGTAATTCCTCTCCGCGTATGTCGTAAACTATAAAGGGGTGATAAAAGACTGAAATATGCCGGCGATGAAAGGCATATATGGAAGTGTAATAAGTAGCAATGACATTACTCTCTGACATGACGTTGTATTGTTGGGAGTTAAGATGTCAAGAAAACGACCCAAATGTCAGGAGATGGCCTGTAAAATCCTTGTCAGTTTGGTGAAAAAATCCTATAGCTTATGCTAGCGATGTCGTAGTCTACGGTAGTACACGTTGAAAATGATTATGATATAATTATCATTACGATTTATGATTTTTTCAGGAACAGAGGGACTTAAATTAAATAAGGTTTGATTTTTAACCTCCTTGAATTAATCAATGACGTTCTGATGTTGGCACGCTATCTTCGGATTGGTTATCTAGCATCACGTGGTGTCACGCCATATTCAAAAGTCCTCCAGTGCACCCTTTACAATATGACTTCAGGTAATGTGTTTATCGGTATCTCTTTCCCAGGAACTTGCTGCTTTAATGTGCATGTGATAAAAGGCCTGGCTTGTTTTTCCAAAGATCAAAGGGAATAATGCATTAAATCTTTTATCTCCGTAACAAACCATCTCAAATCCAGTCGGCAGCCTTGAGCTAACAAGGGAGCACAGATAAGATAGCTATTGCTCAGAAGATATCGATCGACACTGGTAGATTTGAACTTATCCAAATATGGATTTAGGTCACAAAGTATTACTTTATGACTCTCATGATAGTAGTTTGATGCTACAGACAGGTATATCCTATTGGGTGTAAGAACGCGGCTTGGTGATTTGATGATAGTTTACTTGCAATGCTTACATTGAGTGAGGCATAAGCAAAGAGGGTTTATTATATTTACCGAAGGAAAACATCATTGTTTTTGCTCTGTTTCCTCTTCTTCCGTTCCAAACACTCACCTCTGACCTGGTCAATGACCTGAACCAGACTGGTGTGCCTCTCACCCTGGTAACTGGTGTTGGGTTACATAATGTTGCAATTTTATAGTAGGAGGGATTTTGACTCCCGTCACCATATATGTGAATGTGTTTGAGTAAGAATTAACAGAGCAGAGACCATATGCGAAGGTCAACATTATGCATTTGCTTTGCAAATGTTACCTTTCTAGTTATACTTACAATAGACTTCTAGGTACAGACTAGCGGACACGGCGCCGTCCTTATGCTGGGCGTGGCAGCTGTAGTTGCCTGTATCTTCTTTCCGTACGGACTGAAACGTCAGGACAGACGTCCAGAGGTCATCGCTCTCTCGGGCGGTTTCCACTTCCATCCTCCGTCCGTTACCCTCGCGATGGTAGTTGGTGAATCTCATTCCCTGGGTATCCCTGCCGATGATGGTGACTCGTCCCCAGAGTCGTGAGCCGTCCTTCCTCCACTGGATGTCGTGCGCCGTGGAGGACTTGGCGTTCCTCACGGTGCAGTTCAGGTAGACCTGGGAGTGTTGCACCACGTGGAGGGGGCTCTGTTCACCGAACGAGATCTGCGGGGGAACTGCGGGCAAAATAGAACAATTGAATTAGACGCCTGCCGTATCCATAACCGTGTTCAATTAAAGTTCTGGATAGTCCACGCGTATCCAGAACCGTATCTGAGGCAAATCCACGTTCTTGCATACGCCGAGACTATGCAGAACCGTGCCTGATCCTAACCCAAACCATTCAGGCATAGACCTAGATAGGCGGTGGTTCTGGATACAACAAAGTTTTTCAAAAGACCCAAGCATAGCACAGTACTTTCTTAGCTTATGCTTGATGGGAAATAAACAACTTCAAATATTGAAATCCATAGCATCTTAAGATGAAAGAAATAGTGTATATTGCATAACAAGATATCCTTAGGCTAAATGTATTGCACATTATATTGCAGCAGTATTCTAAGACTCTTATCCATTAGGACTAATTTTCCGTGACAAATGAGATCCTAACCTAATCAGTGACAACAGCAATATACAGAGATAGAAAGGACTAATTTGTAGGGTGCTGAGATCAAATTGATTCTGTTTTATCGCACACCACTAGCACTGATTGACTGATTACCTTTCATTGAGGTAGATAGGGAAGCCACTATGGCGCTATTACCTTTAATTTGCCGTGTCTACATCGTTATCAAGGTGCCAAATCAGCACAACTTGTCTCTTGGGGTGGTAGGATTTTACATTTGGGGCGCGTAGCTACCAACGAAATGAGTCTAATTCATAATTTCCGCTTGGTAATTAGTTTGCTACGGTTCAATTTGTGATGTTTTTGTGTTGGTGTTGAATGTGCAAATGTTGAAAGTACTTGTCGAAACTCCCTTGATAAAATAGAGCGGCAGAGAAATCTTGGATAAACTTGTTGACTTCGAGCAGAGCAACCAAGGACTACCATTCGGCACTGCAGGATCCTAGGAAGTTAAGAGTAAACTTTTAACTTAATTACATTCTATATATCGTCTCTTGTACTTGCAGCATACTTTCATCTATCTTTGGTTCAGCTGTTAATGAGATCAAGGAGCTCATAGCTTATTTCACTATAATCTCCTTAATGAGATGCAGCCAGCGGCTGCCTAAGTAGACAATGGATATTACAAAGGGCTTGCCCTGCTGACAAGACAATGCAATACAGAACGTAGAATTGAACAAAGACGGTTTTTGTCATTAAGTAATTTGCAATTGCATATCTACAGTATCTTAAGTCAGACTATAGATCAATCTAGCTGCAACAGTGACTTTCATTAGGATGTGAATCTGCATGTATGAAGTAAAAAAAATTGTATTTCTTATTCTGAAAGCGATTCACGTTTGACAAGCGGCCCGTGCATGTGGTGTACATCACCCCAATTTCACGGGTTGCTAACAATAATGGTCCACTTTCTGTCGGACGGCTACATAAATATGGGGATTAAGTTGCGCCAGTCTTGTGAATAATCCCTTAATATTGTACTTTCCACCGCGCGCGGCCAATTTCACACAGTGTCAAAGGTTGTATCACCTTGTAGACTGACCCATGAATTTCTAGTGGCCTGAAGCGAATTTCTGGAATATAGGTTGAGGCCATTTGCGTTTTCAATTGCCTTTACTTTGTTGCACAACCAACTGAATTATAGTTGGTGTATCAAATTATAACTCGACGTTCGGCTGAATGCCAAACTTAAGGTTCATGTAAGGATGCATGAATACTTTAAAAGTGCATTAACATGTGGTGTTTTATATCATTGTAGTCTGAAGTATAGTCTACAGTAATATCGCATTTTAATGCCAGTAATCCATGTGTATGAAGTTTCAGGCAAAGTCTTCCACGATCCTAAACGCGCGGCCGTCAATGGTCAGTGGCAACTCATAACTTCGGGGTCGACGACAAGAGCAGCTACTGGAAAACTTTGGACCAGATAAGGCTTAATGCCGGTTGGCTCCGTAAGGATTCAATTTTCTGATAAAATGGAATTTGGTTAGGTCCAGCCAATTGAACCGCTTTGCGGTGACATACTGAGTGACGTATCTGATGCAAACCTATATGGTAACCTAATGTTTAGATTTATTCTAATCTAGATGCTCTACTCTGCATCAATCTTTGTTACCAGCTCTCCGTGGATCTTCTTTTCCTACTCTAGAAAAAAAAACGCGTAGCAAAGCAGTTGAAAAATAATCAAATAGATGCCGTAAATTGCAACAAAATTTGGGAAGCGATACTAATGTCTTAGAATGTGAAAACCAAGTACAAAGGAAAGGAGGAAAATGTGAAGAAATGGAAAGTGTATTATTCGCCATACTACACTCTGTTCTAGTCATTTCTTCAATCTTCATGATCAGGGTTTATTTTGTTGCTATTTTTTTTATTCGCAAGTTCGCATAATTTTGGGGTTCCCAGAGGATGTCATCCATATAATCAAATCAACATGGCCTTACGAGCGAGTCACTACCCGTGCGGCCGGCCTGTTTGCTGCAGGATTTTTGTTTGCAATTCGTCAACATCGTGCCATCGCCGCGGCCCCGCTACTCAAAGCCGCTATCCATCACGTGGAATACCGTTGATCTACTTTCAATTACTTTGCCAAAGTGGGTACTTTAAGCGTGCATATACATCACGGGGTACCCACGTACCTCTCAGATACTGTACATGGAAATATAGCACAATTTGGAAAATTGCGAAATATTGCTCAAGGCACACGCACGCCAGCTTAATATAAGACACCGCAAAGTAGTTAATATTGTTTCGTTCATCATACTTTGCATCGCCAAAAGCATTTCGCCATAATTAAATGGGTAGTTTTTAGGCAATTTTCTGACGGGATGCAATATTTCTGCAGTCGAAGATTTATTCCGGCAATTTGAGTTCAGCAATGAATTCTGCGCTGAAAGCATCAATCAAGTTGCTAGATGGTCCCATTTGTGAAACTTATTGCAGTTAGACGAAGAGCCTGATACATTTGCAAAACGTTTAAGGCGAAAATGAGTCTTAAACGGCTTGTCTTCATGAATTATGGAATAAGATTCTTGAAGTGCCCACCGTAAAATTAAGGCTTCCAACGAGTTTGACGGGTACGAATATCTTTCCCCAATCTACAAAGATCTCCAGTGTGAAAACATCTTATTCAATTAAACGGCAGCTTTGCTATCACCCTCTGCATGTAGATGATCAGTATCGGTATTCATCCTCTGTAATGATGAATAATGTCAGAACAATGTCGTAAATGATACGAGCGCAGGGTTAAATATTGAATGTAAAATTCGATTTCCGATATCAAAGAAAACTGTAAAGGCTCTGGTGTCTTTATTTCTGCGCCGCGGGGATGAAATATTTGCGTCATTTTATTGGGTTAATAAAACAATCCATTTCTCTTTTGATGGCATAATAGCTTTCTTGTCATGGCTATATCTTAGTCCCATGTTGGAGGAGGCGGCGTAAGCACGTTAGATATGGTGCAAGTTATTGGCTATGACAAGGTTAAGTCATATTTTTATGAAATGCCAGCCAAATCACCACACGAATATTACTTCCCGGGGAAGACGTGACATTCGGGCTGCCAGGAAGGCGCACTCCGGGCTGACACCGCACCCTTTGTTTCACATCCTGTGGTTTTTAATGAAAGTAAATCACGTCTAGCCTTGACAGAAGGTCATTCGAAACAACTTTGACGTTTCGCATTTATTTTGCACGGTAGGGAAGTCACCTTGATGACCAGATTCCACGTATTTCCTAACTATTCAGAATAACGCGGTGCATCCTTTCTTGGAGGCGAGCCCAGCGTTACTGGTTCAATTCCCATTTGGGAACATTGTTGCTGAATATACGAGCAACGCGTCCTTTATAAATCACCTGCCGCCTATCTCTCTTGCCACTGTTGGGTTATAAGCTAAGGTGTATAAACTTTATCTTCTACGGAAATTCGAACACTCTATCATGACATACGCGTCTAGACAATATCTTTTAGTCCATATTGCCTCGTAGGAGATCCTCTTTGCAGTGACAAAGTGACTTCTACCTATCTCTCTTTCCACTGTTGAGTTAGAAGCTAAGGTGTATAAACTTTATCTTCTACGGAAAATCGAACACTCTATCATGACATATGCGTCTAGACAAGATCTTTCTAGTCCATATTGCATAGGAGATCCTCTTTGCAGTGACAAAGTGACTTCTACCTATCTCTCTTTCCACTGTTGAGTTAGAAGCTAAGGTGTATAAACTTTATCTTCTACGGAAAATCGAACACTCTATCATGGCATACGCGTCTAGGCAAGATCTTTCTAGTCCATATTGCATAGGGGATCCTGTTTGCAGTGACACGGCATATCGTCTGAATCCGCCCACATGTATGAGCCATCGTGTCCCGCCGGCTGACGGCAGACAGTTCGTTATGGCGCCCCAATATCTCCCCAACTGAAACGGTGACCTTTGTCCGACATTCCGCGACCTTTCCACCTTGCTGCTGCATGATTGAAGGTTCCGTTTCCGCCGAAATCGAACAGGCGAAGCGCCATCAGTCCCAGGGATATATATACAATTGTTAGCCGCGCAACAGTGAAGCTTGAAGAAAACGTCATGAAATTCAAAGCAATACGCGCGTGTCAATATGAGTTATATGGATACGACTGAGGGAGTACACCAGGCAAAGTGCCACTAGGCCCAGGAATATATACCATTGTTAGTAACGCAACAGTGAAGCTTGCAAAACAAACGATATATAGCCATGGAATTCGTTGCAATACGCGTACGCGTATGTCAATGTTACTTTATGCGGATACGATTGAGGTCGTAAACCAAAGGATAAATATATGGGCGAGCTCGATCATCAAATATCTTGTTTAATATCCGACTTTTGATTTAACACAGAAAGTCTGAGTGATATGAAAGTGTATGTTAGAATACATTATTCATATCCAGCGAGAAACTTGGCAAAGTGGATGACAACATTTCAGATAGGACTACATTGGAATAAGTAAGTGTCCTATGCTTTTATCCTATTTCCGCTGCTTAGTAATATGGCTACGTTAGCGGTCACTCAAGGTGACGGTAAGGACAGCAATGGGCTTGTGTCATGAAATGATTGAGTAGATAGTGTACTGAATAGTGTTCTGACTCAAGCGGCAAAGAGCGAATTACTCATACAGCATCATGGCTCTACTGGAATTTTGCCAAAGATTTGGGTATAGCATTTGAGACTGATCATGAGCATTTAGATTGATTTTCGTTGTGCTTGTTGCCATGTTTCACTCTCTTTTGTTAATCAGTATCTGCATCTGTGTAGCCGGTATAACCGCCCTTCGGCGCAACACACCAGCTAATCTGTTCTTGTATGTATGCATATGGGCCAAGGACCTGAATTAAAGAAGAATATATATAAATATGTACTTGTAAATATACTTACCGTGCATTTTTAGGTCAAAGTACTGTTCCTCCTGTCCTACTACATCCACCAAACTCGTCAGGACGTACAGCCCCTCGTCGTCCTTCTGGGCGGCGTGTATGACGAGCGAGCCGTGCTGCCCGAGCGTCGCGCGGCCCTCCAGCGGGCCCAGGGACATGGCCGTGCCGGTGGTGGGGGAGTACATGTACACCGCCAGCCGCATGCTGTGGACGCCGCCGTACAGCTTGTTCCAGGTCTGGGCGATGACGCTGTGGTCTCCCTGTGGGCGAACCGTTAGAGTCACGTCCGATCCAACCTTCCCGTGCACCACGTCTGGCTCGGGCGTCAGCGTGGCCAGGACCTGCACCAGGCCACAGGAGAGGACGGACAGGACAACAGCGTACGCCATCATACGTCCCTTGTGTTCGTATCCTCAATAGTTATCTCTTCTGCCCTGCTGCTGCTGCATCTGTTGTGTGTGTCAGGAGATCAATCCTCCCCCATCAGACCCTCAGATTTCATCGACTTGTTGCCTGGGTGTTTATAAACTTGACCTGATCCTGTGAAAACACAGACGAGAATGTGCGGCGCATTAGAACGACCCATTTACTGTCACATGTACAGCAGAAATGGGGCGCGTTGGCGATGACCAGATCATTGAGATGAGACTCTGTAGGTTTATCTCCACCCATGGATCCCCCCGCCAAATTGCCCGTTAAGCTGCCCTGCCTTCCGTAAATCTCCCGCGATGGGCTATAAATGTGACATGAGCATGTTCTGGTGTCTCACCAACACCTCTCAGCGATACATCTAATGAATTGACCTGTTCAACACCAAGGTTAATACGCGGACCCTGCGGGCTTGCGCCAAGCAATCAGAACACCCCCTTAGTATATCACAGCGGCTTCTCGGCAACAAATGGCCGGTACGGAATCAGATCTAGCTCTTCGGAAAATGAACAAACGCGGCATTACTGCAGATACACAGGCTCAGATATACGTGTGCAGTTGATCAATGACATCTCTATATAATGTCCTTCGTCTGATGTGACATTGAGCGAGCAGACTCTCTGCTACAAAAGTTCGAAATGGCGGGATCGAATGGGGCAAATTCATCAGCAAAACGACTAATATTAGCCCCAACGTCGGGATGGGGTCGCGCCCTGCACACGGCAAAAGAAATTAGATTTGACCAACGACCTTGCTTTCTCCTTAGTATCTTATCTAGTTCAATCTAAACTGTAGATTCTGCACCAAGTGCTGTCATGAAATGAGACCTGCGATGGTTGATGATTGAATTACTCCATCGGAGGTCTCAATTTGCCAGCCTTCTAATCAAGAATTGGAGTGTTTTCTGTCATCTATATGTGTTCACCCTGCACAAATTAGGTGAGCTTCAGTGTGATAATTATTTATTACATGTGTTATAGTCAGACCACCAGAACAATTAAACGCATGGGAACCTGACAGAACGACATGTGACACGGCCTGCATATAAACTAACAAGCCAATGAGATCACAAGGGAATAACAAAGGTGCGTGAAATGCAATAAAGAAAAATATGAGCAATAAAAGCACATACAGCAAGATAACAGTATCGTGTTAAGCAAACTGAAAAATTTTTGGAGTCATACTTGCAACTTCACATGCCATTCGTGTATGTGTATATCTCTATGTGTATTTTGCCGTACGTTGTATATTCTGGCAGCACTAATAGAAGCATAGTGAAACCTTAATGTGACTGGATTCTTGCCAGCCGGCCTGTCTATACATAAATAGGTTGGGTTCTTACCCCACGTGTGTTGGGTACAGAATGTAATCTAGCCAAGAGCACAAATCTATGGGTACTTTACAATGTTAGCCTTCCTGTCCCTCGAGTGCTGTAGAAAATGGAGAGTCACTCAACTTGCAAAACCATTTTACGTTTTCTGGAAAGGGGAGGCATTTATGGTTTCCATCTGCGTAGACTGCCGGTGATTCAGAGTGACAAGTGTGGCAGGTAAGAGGCCATGGAGGATGACTTGTGCGCCATTAGGCGTGATTCACTCCGGGCACTCCAAATGTCCAGTGACACGTGCCTTTATGAACATTGCCTCCGTGAGTCGTTTGTGAGGTTGAATGGCGCTGCGGTCTACTGTAAGGTACATACATTAATCTGCAAGTACATGTAAGTAAATATCAACGAGGTACAAAAAAGGGATTTCTGCTGCAGTTTCAAAGGATGCCACCAGAAAGATAAAAAATCTAATCATTTTTGACAGGTCAAGACCTAATAAAATACCAAATTTTATAACACACAATTCATAGCTTCTTCAGTTATACTGTTCGACAGCAAACTCTAGTACACTCATTGTTTAACATACTAAGGCACCTTCTTGACAAATTATAGGCAATTATATAAAACAACAGTGCCATTAGGAGAAGCAAATTCCTTGTAGATTCCTTTACAGATGGCTTTACAGCGCAATGCTGACGCAGTAGAAACCAGTATGGGCTTCTAAGAACTATCGGTACATTTCCCCATTGAGATTTGATGACATCACATTAACCGGCTATTGATGAACCGTGTCAACAGGATTTCCAGAGACCTTCTCGGTAATCAAATCTTTCTGTGAGAGGATAGGACCGCTTCTGACTCCCCATCACAATTATCGTTTTAACCAATGATAGGATGGCAATTAGTGGTTCGACCAATGAGAGAGTGGCTGCATGGCCGTCAAATATTTGCATTTTCATTTAGGGCGGAAGTAGGCAGCACAATGAATCGGTCTGTACAGGAGACAGCTGCTGCCATCGCTGTGTCCAGTAGCTCCCATTGCTGTCAGCTCCTGAAACAGCGACAACGTCGTACTGTCAACCAGGTCAAATCACGTTTTGACGAAGGCCAGTAGTCATTGGGTCGTATTAGGAAACAAATGCATCAAACGGTCCTATATGTACAACCGTGCCTATGCTAAAAAAATCAGAGTATACAGAATTTTGTATCGCTTCCCAACAAATTTGTTATTTTGTGTTCAGGATGATCCTTTTGGTAATGTGCAAGTTTGTGTACCGTATGAAATTATTGATGGTTGACCTCTGTTCATCAAAGATTGCTTTCATCGGGGGCATGTTTTGATTCATCTACCTAACATTGCCCATATATACTTTCTTCTGCGTTATGCTTTCAGCTTTATCAGAGTGTATGGAATTTTGAATTCCCTTTCAGCAAAGTCGCCGGAGGGAGTTAGACCTTACGCAGTGGTTGATTTTATCAAGCGGTAGACCAATGGAGTTTCGCCAGACGCAACCGCTAAAATGATTGACCTGGGTTCATCAAGATAGTTTTCATGATGGCGCTGAGTTGACCATCACTCATCTAGCACCATTGTCCGAGTATAAACCATTTTAGACGTCTGTAGAGTGCGCCACTCTCTGATCTATCAGAGCGTATGGTATTCTAAATTCCCTTTCAAAGAAAGTTGTTCAGGGAGTTATGGTTCCTGTTGTGGGAGATCATATCATCAATGTACACGCCGGTTAACCCGAATGCAGTGACTGTTATCCCAAACGCAATGTCTGAATGACTGACCCCGGGTCATCAAGATTGCTTTCATGTGGACGCTGTTTCGATTATAATTAATCTACCCAGTATTGTGTATCTATACATGCTTCGTTCGTTCAATAAAAGGATGCACTCTGGGGTTTATGAGCAAAGTCAAAGCCTTATGAAAACATGGCGTTTTGATAACGCTTTTGAAACCATAATGTAGGGAGATGGGCTTTTGCATCACTGAGCAGGAAGGCATTTTGGTTCGAGCTTTAGGGACCCTATTTGCCTCGGCACTGGGTTTATGTAGGATTTTCTGACTTTGGGGGTACTCTAGGTAGACTTCGAGGAAACACTGGATTGTAATCTCTCCGAACAATGGAAAGCTCATGTGTATTCTTGTGGAAGTGTCTGACCAGTGAATTAACGGTCTGCTAGTCACCACGCTAGTAGCTCCCAAATCGCCAAGGATTTAGGAAGATTACGCTGGGAATAACGAGTCCTTTGGACATAGGTCTGTCATCCAGTTTATCAAAAGAAGGGATAGAGTGATGTCTTCTATATTCTTATGGAGATGTGTGACCCGTGCATTAACGGTCTGCTAGCCACGACGTTAGCGATCCCCAAGTTGCCAAGGATTTGGAGGAATAAGCTGGGAGTAAGAAGGTCTCTCTTGACAAAAAACTTTCCATCTACTTCATCACAATGAAGGGATAGAGTGATGTATTCTATTTTCTTATGGAAGTGTGTGCCCAATGTACCAACGGTCTAATAGACACGACGCTAGCGACTCCCAAAGCTCTATGAAGGATTTAATAAGAATACGCTGGGAGTAAAAAAGTCTCTCTTGACAAAAACTTTCCACAATGAAGGAATAGTGATGTCTTCTGTGTTCTTATGAAAGTGTGCGACCGGTGTATTAACGGTCTGGTAGGCACGTCGCTAACGACACCCAAAGCTCTACAAAGGATTTAGGAGGGATACGCTAAGAGTTAGAAAGCTCGGAGTAAAGTGCTTTGGACAAATGCCATTATCCTAAGGGATAGGGTGCTGTTTTCTAACTTGTAAACAAATGCCACAAACGTTTCAACCTTCACATACAGTGCAAAGTACGCACACACACACACTCACTCACTAACACACATACATGGACACAAACAAGTTATGTACAGCCTTTATCTACAGCCTTCATCAAGAAATCATAAGTGGCGTAAAAGATCAAACTGGTTGAAACGGATTGCCATTGCGAGGGGGGGGGGGCAATTGGTCGCCCAATCAATACTTCCTACAACACGGTCTCAGTACATCAATCAGCGCATCTAAATGTAATCGAACCAGGGGTTGCAACAATTAAGCTCTTGCTGCTAATCAAGATAAAGAAAAATGTCCAATTGTCCTGTTACCCTGGAGAAGAGATGCCAGGGTAATATATTGTATATATATCTTACTAGCCACGTCGTATATCATTGTTTTACCGAAGCGTGTTAACGAAGGAATTGAGTGTCTTGGGGTCTACTCAAGTTTTGTTTGGTAAATGGAAAACCCTAGTCAGCAATGCGGAGACTGATTCTTTGATACTTGATGCATCACCAAGACTAATATAGGGCCAGTCATTCAACCGTCTGACTTTTCACCAAGATTGAATACGAGTACCTAAAAGCAGCCTTCAGCATTCATTAGTGGAATAGCCAAGTGACCCGGTTTCTGTATCGCGTCTATGTACCAGTATATCAATATGACAGCCTGTCGTCTGTTTGTAATACGGCCATTGATTTTGTCGAGTTCGTGTTGTTTCCTCCGGCAAAGAGGTTAATGTTTTCAGTCGCGCGAATGTGTAATTTCTTGATGTCTGTGTACAGGATGGCTATGAATGGATTTCCATATCTTTTCTCGACAGGATTGTATAAGCAAAGAGATATGACAAACTTTGGGACTTAACCTAGAATTCAATCTGGATGCAGGACTATCTAAAATTTATCTTCTATCTCGCTGATTCGTGAATAATTATACAGCAGACTTTTTTGAGACATTCTAGGAAACTTATCATACAAAATCATCACCATCATTATGATATGATAAATACATAATATGATACAAAATAACTCCTGTTGCGCAATACCTCCAGTATCCGAAGGCCTGGTGTGTATTCTAGAAACGTAAGAGGTGAAAACAGAACCTTTCTATAGATATAGCGATTTTTGCTCGGGCTACAGCGATCAATTTGCCAGTAAAAAATGATAATGTGTACATAAACTCCGTCTGGTCCACACGGAGCGAAAGCCTGTCATCCAGGAGATAAGCAAAGTGCTTTTGAACTTCTGGAAATGGAGAGAAAAATGGCCGGTGTCCCGAAGGGGGTCTTATCGTGGTTTTCTAGTTGAGAAGAGGCCGGTCCTGTTTGATACAGATGCGTGAATATGGGATTCATCGAAGCCTCTTCGTTTAACACATTGTTAGCAATGATAGCAGGAGTAACTACTAATTTAGAATGATTTGTTCTTGTGGTGGGATTTAAAGAAGAAAGTATAAAAGAACTACATATCAAGCTTATTGATGATTAATCTAGAATGAAATAGTTGAAGATATCTTACACTGTTGAATTCAATTACAGACATAATCTAAGCATCTTAGGGAAGTTAATATGAAGTTAGTTGAAGTGGTCCTATTATGTACCCCTGGAGAACACCTGAGGAAATTAAAAGCCTGGATTTCAACAAGAATATTCCGTCCCTCTCCTTATAAGTATTTGATGAAAATTGAGTTTGAAGCACAAAATTATGTATGAACTTGTTCCTGGTTAATTGAAATTTATTTTACACCAGAAATCGTAGTAATTATCAGATTGTTGCATTTCTTAGCACCAGCTGAAGCCATACCACATTCAAAAAGAACAAGCGAAACAAAAAAAAACGCAACCGACCGGATCACCCGCATTAATAAACGGCAATAGGGTCTTTGAAATTTCATCCAAAAGTGAGACATGTCTCTCTAGGTCTGCGCCAACATTTGCTAAAGGATGTCGTTGATGATTTTCACCGCGCGCAGTCGGACATTAATCCCGCTAGCCTCACTCTTATCTCCGGACATAGCGGGGCATTTACCTGTCCTTCTCGCGAAGCGTTGAAGCTCCACAGCCATCGTAACTTAATTACCACCCATGGGAAGCTGAAATAGGCCGCGTGTCGCGCTGAGAAGAAATGCCGACCGTTCCAGTCGCGATCGATGTTTGAACGTTGTATCAATTATTCCAATGGTGGGTTTCCAGGATTGGGTCTTAGTTCGAGCCAGGTAAGATGGCGGCGAAAGCAGCTGGATATGGATTATCTGTTTACGGTAATTGGCAACGATGTTTGGAGGGTATTTATGGTTGTGTTATTGGAGACGGAGGGACTCGGATACCCAATAAACACACACAAGGACACAGAGAGACATGCACACACACACGCTCACATACATTCACAAACACACACACAAACACACACACATTCAGACACACACAAACACACACATACACAAACACACACACACACACACACACATAGACACACACACACACACACACACACACACACACACACACACACACACACACACACACACACACACACATAGACACACACACACACACACACACACACAGTCACACACACACACATCCACACACACACACGCATAGACACACATACACAAACACACACACAAACACACACACATTCAGACACACACACACACACACACACACACACACACACACACACACACACACACACACACACACACACACACACACACACACACACACAGTCACACACACACACATCCACACACACACACGCATGGACACACATACACAAACACACACACTCACACACTACACACACACACATGCACACACACACGCACACACACGCGCACACACACACACACACACACACACACACACACACACACACACACACACACACACACACACACACACACATTCACATTCACACACACACACGCATAGACACACATACACAAACACACACACTCACACACTACACACACACACATGCACACACACACGCACACACACGCGCACACACACACACGCACGCACACACACACACACACACACACACACACACACACACACACACACACACACACACACACACACACACATTCACATTCACACATCAAAATCAAAACCTACCCTATCACGTTGGACGTGGATTGGTGACCTGTGATCAGAGGCTGATCTCGCAGTGACCGGTTGTATCGCTGCCGAGAATGAGTCCTCATTAGAGCCCGCAGACTCGTTTGGCGAGCTGCATTTAAGGCCAATTGGGCGTTATACGAGTCCTGAAGGGCATTTTTTCACTTTTGGTCTGTAGTTGAAAAAGGTGCCCGCCTGGACTTCCAAGACGTTTCAGACAGAGTCCAATCGATTGTAGCTAGATCACGGCCTTCCCGCCATCCAGCGAAACGCAATTTGAATGAGGAGAACTTCATTTGTTGTAAGCCGTGATCGGTTGTCACGTCTGTGGCTCGGAACGCCGTCGCTATTACACTTTCATCTGCCCCATCAGTCTTAAACCCACGCCTTGTGTACCAAGTATATCCCCTATGCAGCTGAACTCTCATTCATCATGCCAAAAATCCATACCGCGTTCTATTAACCTACGGACGTCTAGCTCCGCTATTGACAGTCTAATCTTAAGGCTGACATCTGACTATCTGTTAGAAAATTAAGTAACGGTTTCTCGTTCTGGGGTTCGATATTAATGTTGCTGCCAAGTCACGATCCTGCCTGACACTGCGCATCAAGTCTGTCCTCTCCTTGTTATGAAGAGCTTCTGTAATATAATCCCCCATCCCAGGCGCAACCCCCAGTCAACCAACTGCCAATACTGAAAGGAAACATCCCTTCCGTTCCGCAGTCCATCACAGCAAGAGCTAATTTTTCCACGCCAGGCGGCTGAAATCGCCATCTTCATCTTGATGGAAAATTGGTTTCTTCTGGTTCCAGGCGTGACCCAATACTGGGGACAACATACAGGTTGTAAATATACTGGCCTCAAAGAGGGGAGGGGGGCATCAGGTGTCTGTATCTGAAATGCAATCCAACCTCACCAAACACAGGCATATTCGTCAAACGCACAGAGGAAATCGCCGATCGCTGTGTTCTAAATTTAGGGCTTAATTTATAGTTGGCTCTGCGACATCGCCAATATTACCCGGATAGGGTCACGCCGTATTCGCCGCTTCCCCATTCTTTTTCATTTTATACTAATATTTAATCGTATCAAAGAGTGGTGTAGGCTAGGGAAGACATAAAAGTCGCCAGGTCTCTGGTTTCATGGATTTCAATTTCGCAGCCAGCGCTTTTAAAATTTATTGATTTTATACTATTTAATCGGATCAAAGACTAGTGCAGGCTAGGGAAGAAATAAAAGTCGGTAAGTCTCTGCTTTCATGGATTTCAATTTCGCAGCCAGCGCTTTAAAATGTGGTAAAATATAAGCTATTCCCCACTTTTTGCTACACAATTTTACGGTCAATACTTGTGAGAGTCTTTAATGACAGTATGTTCTTTGACAATTTGCCAGGAACGCTAAGAGATCATATGGCATATAGAAAACATTCCACATACTTCATTCAATTATAGCTGTGCGCGCCGCGTGTCGTGAGGGATGTTGTCAAGACTTCTAAAGACGTCTACAGACGAAATCACTTCGGACCCGTCTGCAAGTCGGCACTTCTGCAAGTAAGCGAAAATTGTTGTTTATATGCTTTGTTAAACTGGACATTGCAAAAGTACTGTAACGTAAAAGGGGAAATACTCAAAATTGATATTTTATTCCTTGGTGAAAGCATCTTTATTTGGTGATGAAATTCCAGCACGTGAAACCCTCCCTTGGTAGCTTATTATACCACAAGCTTATTACCCAGACTGCCTGGCGCATGGACAACTGTGGCCAGACAGTGAGAACAACACTTGACCAAATAGCCAGCGGTACGTAAAATTAACACGTCTGTACTACTACATAATTTTAGTTTATCATGATTGCACTTCTAATTAAGGCTCTTTAAGACCTTTCGCAAAGGGTTGTAAACTTGGGTATACCCAAAAATGACTTTGATACATTGATTACAGTCAACAGATCCAATTTTGCGCAGAACGCATATTCCTTGTTGCATGATGTTCTTTCTATTGGTGCAAAACGCACGTTCAATGATTCTGTATTTGTGCAAAACGAGCGTTCCCTGTTGATGTTATAACGTTGACCAGTGCAAATCACCCCCTCCGCGTTGACGTTGCATTTGCACGAGCGCACCATAGGTTTGCGGAAGGGCACCTAGCGATGCAATCAGTGAAGCACTTCAAAGATGTCCTCTACATTTGAACTAAGTATGCAGCATGTGTCATGGGACGCGAATCCTTTCAAACACATGGATACCCAAAGGCACAATACCATATTCAGAATACAAGATCAAACCGCGGGCCCCTTTCTTCATCTCTACTGCAATTTTATCGCATTTTTATCATCTTTAATGGTATGTATACTTTAGGTGGTTTCAGGGGGGGGGGGGTCTACCAGGCCTCAGAAGCGACAGGAAAGAGTAGAATTTGGCAAATTGAGAAATAACATCCCAGGGGAGTTGGTGAGCTAGACAGTGCAGTTTGCCGCATACCTAGATTTTCGGGTGCGGCAAACTGTACTCTCTATAGCTAACCAACTCTCCTGGCATGTTATCTCTCTATTTGGCCAATTCTACTCTTTCCAGCCGTCTCCCGAAGTATGGTATAGGGGCTTGGGGGGGGGGGTATGTTCACTTATGGAGGATATAACGTATGACAAATGGACATAGCAGACAAGAAACCGGCACACTTGAACAAGATTATCCACAGTGATGGGGCATGATAAATAGCTCCACCGTCGGCGGCCCGCGGCGATGTTTTGAGTGGCTCGGTATTGTCGCGCGCGGGATCAGGCTCAGATGAACGGCTTGCGATGTGACTTTTGGGAGATGGTTCCCGGCTCCCGGGACGAGAGACGAATAAGACACGCCGCTCACCTCCAAGCTGTTTGCATAACATAGCAGCAGTGGCTGATATTGTCGTGCATTTACTGTGACCTAGGACACCATGGAATACGGGAACATAAATATGACACTGTGCAGAACAATTTATCTTACTTTTCTACATAATAGAGCAAAGCTACCACTTATTTATTCGCCTTTTTCGACGAAAAAATACAACGAATTCCCGGCTATACATATAGACGTATTCAATGCTAATGTCACAATTCGTAACTCTTGCGGGAACGAAATGTATAATATAAAACACCACATATAAAAGATGAAAAAAATAATCATGACCTCTGTTCTTGATTTGAATTGTGAATTTTTCATTCACGCAAACAGCCCAGCCACGCCCTGGTTTGGAAATGTGTGACCTTCACATAGCCAAGGCACTATCCTATCAAGTTCACAATCAATCGAACAAGAAAAGGGCAATGAACTGAAATAATGCATTATCCAGACGGCAGAAAGAGCAACAAGCTTCTCTCCTAATGCTGTTAACACGGAGAAGAAAAGACGTGATTCGGTTGGACAGTGCATCACGAACCTCGCTATTGGCTTTCTGTACGGAACGCTAAATTATTCATCATTCCATTAACCGCACGCGTCGACAGCGGATGGAAATCATTACTGAGGATTACCCGTACGGATCCTCGTTAGTACGGGGGGAGAGATCCGTCCGAACCGCTGAGATCACACGATCCCTGGCCCATCTCTGCCGTTAACAACGTTCCAAAGCCCGGGATACTCCGTGTACGTGACTTGCAGACGTTCATAGCAAACTTTTCTTTCTCAATTACGTCCGATTTTGGTGGTTTCCGGACGTATTGTTTTCGGTGGCGATGGCAAGTGTTTTGGCTGGTGTGTTTGGCTGAATCAGGGACATTATACACTGTGTATAATGCCCTTGGTTGAATGGACGCAGTTGGAAGGATGATTTTAACAAGATGCTCAAGAACGGGATACTCCATGTACGTAACTTGCAGACATTCGTAGCAAACTTTTCTTTCTCAATTACGTCCGATTTTGGTGGTTTCTGGAAGGTATTGTTTTCGGTGGCGATGGCAATTATTTTGGCTGGTGTGTTCGCTTGAATGGACGCAGTTGGAAGGATGATTTTAACAAGATGCTAAAGCCCGAGATACTCGATGTACGTGACTTGCAGACAATCATAGCAAAACTTTCATATACAATTACGTCAGATTTTTCATTACTTTCTTTAGGAACTATTGTTTTAGGCAGCAATGTTTCGGTTTGTGTGTTCGGCTGATGGGATGGGCGCAGTTCGAAGGATGATGTAATAGACTGAGTGGAGTTAGTAATTAACTACATGTAATATAAGTGAATGTCGTTGGGTGATAATTCTTTCTACCGTGTAATTTACTCAGTGGTTTGTCGCGACGACCATGCAACACAGTTTTAATACATTTACGTAAATCTTCAAGTTTTGTTTGGGGGGGGGGGTGTATGAAAAACATAGTGGGAGAAAAGAGGTCACGAACAGTATCAGTTCAGAGTCATGAATGCAGAAAGAAGGTATCGAGGAGAATTATGTTGGATGTAGTGGAAGCCAATATCAGAAGCAATACCGTCAACGTTGAAAGCTAGACGGCTGCGCAGTAAAGATATGGAAAAAAGAAGAAAACAAGTAAATAACTATCGTAGGGCTGCAACACAAAACGAGCCTCTGAGGTTGCGTTAAAGTATCTTCAGAAGACACGAGACAGAAATCATTTAAGTTTCCAAAAACAACAATTTGGAAACTTTTTATGGAGAAAACGGACTAAAGGAAGGACGACTTTAAAGATGATATGTGGGTGTGCGGGATAACACACAGGAAAGACAGCGTTATGCAGGTAATGACTGCAGGCGTCTGAAACCATTACAAGCTTAGGGGACATAATTTGAGAAAATCCGCATCCTGCTGCGCTTTCTTTTTCAGCAAACCCACCACAAGCTTGGCCAGGAGCGTCAACAATAAACCGGTAATACATGTATGTGGCTCTCTTTTATACATACAAAGCAGCTTCTTTTATTCTCCATGAGAATAGCTTGTCAACAAGTATTTAGGTAGAGATAGTCGAGGCAATACCGCCCGTACTTGCGCGGCTGTGCGGCTGAGATATGCCGGGACCGTCTGGGAAAAACACAAGAAGCGCCTGGAAGACTCCATTAAAACTAATCTCTAGGAAGCTTACCCACAATTAGCGGATCAGCATTACGCTGTGTTCGTACAAAGGGGGTACATTACTCAAATGTCAGCCAAGAGTTTTAGGATCAACAGAAAAACACAATATATCCATCTTTAACTATAGGATGTCCTGGATGTGCATTTAGCGCTTGTCCCTCGCAGAATACCTCGCAAATACTTACCATACTTTTTGAATACTCATAATAAATCGGACAGTTAAGAGCTCGAGAGATTGAACTTAATTTCCGGTATTCCGTATAGTGATATCAGTGACTTTTGGGCACAACGAAGGAGAGCATCATCATTGTGAGGCTTGAAGAGATATGGTACCATACAACTCATTCTACCGCCTCTACCGACTCAACTCTGTCACTATCGAGGCTGCGGTTACAATTCTACCACCTGTATGTGTATGGACTCGATTTCTAGTTACTGCCACACAAAGGCACCGAGAACAAATACATCTTTACTGACAAAGAGCAGATATTGGTACTTTCATATCAGTAAGGCTGATACAAGAGCAACAAATGTCATCATATGCGCACGTATTTTGCTCGCTGAGGCAAAAATGAGATCGTGGCTCTGGCAATAATTGACTCCACGACTCAACTTTTTCCCCCAGGCGTCGTCCAATTTCCGAGCTTATTCGTCTCCATCAAGACAAACGCGTCTTCCCGCCCTAAGATGGTATTTTTAGAACTATGGCTGCCGAGGGAATCAAATTGCCAATGGCCCTGTTGTACTGTTGTGCGACGGGAATAGACAAACAACATGTCCTGTCCGATAGGTCGTTAACACGGTGATTCAGAACAATGTATAGCTCATGCGTTGCACTGTGGATCTATCAGAGACACGCTGTTCTCTTCAGCAAATGTTTTGTTGAGAAAACAGAACTTTTTGTGAATAAAGAGATAGCGTTATTAGCAAAAGTACAGAGTCTTCCACAATGTCTTCTTTAACTAAAGATACATTTAATCAATTTTGCAGCTTGGAATCTTGTTGTGACAAACCCCATATGGGTATACCCTCAGTGACAATGTAGATCCAAGTCTATGAGAAGACCATTTACACTACCAACTTGACTTTCAGGTCAATCTGTGGTTACAAAATTCCAACTGTGCATGCCGACCTGTAGCATTTAAATACCACAAGCAAACACGCCCAAAACAATATGGCTGTCTCCATGGTCCTGTCCATCGTTAGCATTCATGGGGAGGTCCCATTACATCATGCAAATGTTGCATAAGAGAGCCACGGTCACGACCGCTGAACAGGTCTAACCAACCGCAAGGTCGCGATCTTTTACTGCACAGTAGCTGCTGACTGAACATGAGCCGCTCCATTTCTTCTGCACAGGGATATAAAACGCTGACTTTTACGTATTCACGGTGGCGAGGCCCGTTGTTTAGCGCTAAGCCGGGGGAGGCTGTTGGGACGTGATACCGTCACGGACTGCTGGATTCAGCCGTGCCAATATGGGAAGCGGTGCTCGGTCATTGCCAATATCAGGAGCGGGTCGGCTTTAGGGTTATTGCCGCAGGTTCGGAGGGTTTATTCACATGCATGGTCGTAGTTTATGAGGTATGCGGGTCAATACAGTTAAGCCATGTTTCCAGCAATTCTGTGGCCATTTCTTTGTGGGGGTGGGGGCGGCGAAAGTTGTTCTTTTTTCACTCTAACAAGAATCTACACGGTGTCATATATCTTGACGAAAACGTTGATACTTTCCCATAACCCATATATGTAACATTATATTTGAGGGTACCGCGTATGCATTTGACATAAATCTATCAGGCCTGGTGAAAATAAAGAGAGAAGGCACTTGTGATGGACGGTGATTATTACATTTTCAATATTTTTCAAGGGGTAACAATAAATACAAACAGGGCCATGCAACGTTTTTTATTACTGCAATAAAATGGAACGAGACTAGAATAGCCAAATGTGCCACATGCTGTATTGACTTTTCTTTCATTTTCAATATTTTTCATGATATGTAATATGATATAAATGCGATATGAATAGTTTCATGCGGCAATATTTATTACGTTAGTAAAAATAATATAGGACAGAAGGCCCCAATGGGCCATATGCTGTGTGTAGTTCTGTAGATTTTCAATATTTTCAATATATAAGATGAATACAATAGTACAATATTTATTACATTCATATTTGAGAAAGATAATATTTGCCAGAAAGGCCCAAAGGTACCATCTGCTGTAAGGAATTTTCTACATAAAAACTTTAACGATGAAGATATTGTTTACCAATTTCAACTGGTATATGGTCTAAATTTCATCTTACATTATGTACTGTTTATAATTAGCAGTCATAGTAGTACATATATATAATATTACTTGCAATCTACAAAGGGATGTGGTTTTTGTACAGGAGTTAGCATAAAAAGGCAAAGTAAAATAGAAAAATGAACATTTGACGGGTGCAATTCACAAAGAGCGAATGATGATGACTGATAGGGGTGTAGAGACCATGGGTCAAATTTGTTTCTGACCTTTGACATTCCCGAAGGGCATCCCGGGAAGAATCCTCTCATGCGAAGACGCAGTTTTGTGTTCGTCTCCGGTCTGTCAAGACAACGCGTCATTCATTTCCAGTCACGGCCAGTTTGCCCTGTTGCTGCGGTAGTTGTGCACAAAGGAAACATTGAATTCTCCGTAGGGGACTGTCCGGAATGGACGTGGAGGGATAAATCATTTGTGCCTTGATTTATCAGCTCAATATTTCGTCCTGCTGTTGTTTTTATCCGCTTTTCTTTCGGTACATCTACCAAAAACTATTTCTTATACGCCTTATTACCAATTCGAGCCCATCTCGTCAGTGCGCTTTGTTGTTGATGAACGTCATTTTACGATGGGGCTATAAAAAATCGTCCAATTTGGCAGCCTGTTTGCCCGCTACGTTAATAAGAACGCTTTTGCCGAAGTTGAAGAATAACTGCTGCCAGCCCTCCCACTATTGTAGGTGTCAACCAGAGTCCACACTTACAATACGTTATTTTGCGAGAGCGCGCGAATGGTGGATGGCGATATCACTGTGAAATATCCCTCAATCATACAACACCCACTTTGCCACGCACTGTGTTTTATGCAGCAGTGTTACCTGTGGTGGTACCCAATCACTCATACTTGTAGGGGGAGGGAGTAGAGGATGGGAGGGTGGGGGGCACTTGAAAACAACTGTAGCAGTTGCCAAGCGTGTATTCAGTGTATCCCCAAATAAATGGCAATGCCAGCTGAAGCGAGCTTTACCAATTTGCTGGACGAAACACAAATCGGAGAGTGTCTTTTCTCCGACAGAGTGGTAAATGAGCTTGCCATGTCGGCGACTCAAGCTCCAATCACTCCAGTACAAAGGGAACATCAAATACAAAGCTTCTCCAAACCAGGGCCCATCATTCTTACTGTACGTACTATTTACGACGGGGACCGTTGATATTTGAAACCGCTATGTAGCCTGAACCGATCGAATGGTCGGCAAGAGAGCAACAAGAAGAAGATACGTACCTCACCTTTGTGTAGTGCATCCGCAAGTCGAAGCCGCCGAACTCTTCCCAAATTGCTCCCAACACAGACCGATTCGCGACACCTGAAACAGTAATTATATCTATGCATTACGCGATCGTCACCAGGATTTCTGGTGGCGACTCTGATACACACAACGTCTGACATATGGACAAAGGATCTCCGCCACCCCGACCTATTTCTACATCTTCACCAGCGCACCTTATCTCTCTACGAATGATGAATTTTGCAATCAACGATACGCCTGTATGATTAACATCTAGCGGCGGAAAACTGACCCTCAAGACACGGGAATTCCCCCGGCGGAGATGAAGCAATAAGCCTCGGTAAACGCCGAGCCCTCCTCCCGTCGATATCTCCAGATTACCACCGCTGAGGCCACCGGCTGGTTGCTGTCATTTCAGTCACGTACGGCGAGATGGTTGGTTGTGAAGACGGGCGCGCGGGGCGATGCATTATCTCCGCCTGTTGTTTGTATCTCAGCCAACACTGCAGCTAGTATACTGTGCTCGGCACAATGACTAGCGCTATGTACAGCAGACACAGATGGATCGGCTCCCAGGAGCTACTTAAATCGAGCTGCTCTCTCCTGCGGTTTGTCAAAGCGGGAAGGTTCCGGGAATGTTACATTCCTGGAAGTGAAGCACGCCTTCTGTGGGACGCGCGGGAAGTGCAGTAATGTCCAGGGATTGTTAACGCGACGCTCATATGTAAAATCATATCATCTTTAAAATCTCTATCGTAGAAGAATCTTCTACGATAGAGATTTTAAAAACAGATATATTTTCTGTTATTGTGCATTGGCCTGTTACTTGTTGCCTTTTGTCTCCTTCCTTTGTCTCAACGAACGAAAGAATGCCATCATCTGTTCATGACTTTAAAAAAACTGGCTTGTGACATACCACAGGCGTTATAAAACGGCCGTACTTTCGTATTAGTTCTCCGGCAAGGTAAAAAAAAATACCTGAATATTGACACTCAATATTTATATATAAACACAATCCCGTAACCTACATGTATACGCAGAGCTATGTGTTTATTGCAATCTACGGAATGCGTCAGCAGGAACAACATTACCCTTAGCTAGATGACCTTTCACAGCGAACCTAATCCATATTAGGGAATTGCATCCGTTAACCTAGTTCTGACGTCATGTGGCACTACTCACGCCTAAGTGACTTTCATATGAGCTGTCAGGAGGGTCAATGTCCTCCATATGACGGCAGCCTGGCCTGCCATGGATTCATCACTAGTATTAGCACAATCAATGAAACCCCTGAGGGTGGCCAGGTAGGAAACACAGAAAAGGTGGGACGAATAAAAAAATCTATTTTCCTAAGGCTACTAGAGGCTGTCACTTGAGCGATGTCTTGTACAAATCATTGTATTTTACAGATTTACAAAAACAGAATCATGCACCAAGAAAAACGGTCTCTAATACCACAGTAGTATTAGTTAGACCAGCACAGTATACGTATCAGGCTACTGGACATTATGTTTATTGTTGGTATAATAAGTCCAACTTTGTTAATCTGATGACCAGATATTTGGATTAATGCCAACCGCCTGTCTTAACGTTAGACTTTTTTTCGATACGATTCATCTGATCCTTTGGCCAATTCTAATTACTGTCCATAATACTGAAACCGACAACCGTTTATATCAATTGCTGCCGGCCAATGTCAGACTTTTAATTGGGAACTGTCAATTATTTTTGCGGTACGCCGCCAGCGCACATTGATTACCGTTATGCTACTTTGGGGATAGAACTTTGTCGAATAATGAGTTTATATGCATGCCATTCAAGTAAGAGCAGATATGTGCTTGTAGTCCCTCTCAATTTACCAATGGGTTTCAATCAAACTGTCGTGGTTCACTCTAATGTTTTATTCTTTCAGACATGCCCGCAAGCTATGTCTGGTTAGTCAATGCAATATGGTGGTGATAAAATAATTTATGATACAAAATGACCCCAAAAGAAGCAACAGAATGTTTAATTTTTACTCTACCAATTTACTGTCACTGTTACTTCAGATATGAAGGGTAAAATGGGCCAAGAAGGGTTCCCTGTGGTACACCTTTAGTTATGTGAAACATGCTTAACGACTTATCAAATTAACATTAACACACATTTTATGCTTAAAACGCGGGCAAATATTCTACAAACGTTTTGGACATGTCTGCCAAGAGGCGTCCGTTATTCACATCGTACCATCATGACACTTGGTCGTCATCATGACATTCTCAAGTGATTAAGATACAACTACACGATGTCATGATATATCTTGAGATGGTCTTTAAACGACGGCAAATATTCAGCAAACGTTGTTGAAACGTCTTCCAAGACGCGTCCGCTATTTACCTCGTGCCATGACACTTGGTCGTCATCATGATATTCTTAAAAGTACTTAAAGAATATCATGATGACAACTACAAGATGTCAAGATATTATTTGATTAAGATTGTCTTTAAGCGACGGCAAATATTCAGCAAACGTTATGGAAACGTCTTCCAAGACGCGTCCGTTATTTACATCGTGCCATGTGTCTTAGTCAACATGACATCCGTAGGTCCTTAACGTTAAAGATACAACTACAAGATCTCGGGATATTTGATTAAGATTGTCTTGAAACGACGGCAAATATTCGGCAAACGTCTTCCAAGACGCGTCCGTTATTTACATCGTGTCACGACTCTTAGTCGGCCCCATGAATCATCCACCTGCGCGGCATGAATGTGCTGATCTTTCCTGACTCCTACGTGTGGTCACGAATGTGTAATGACTTGTCGGGCCAGTGCAATATCTCTGTTCTGATACTTCAATAATATCCGTTGTCCTCTACCGCTATATGTGCTCTTTACGATAAGAAGACGGTCTGGAATGTAAAGAAATAAGTATCACCTGTCAAACCAATAGTAGACAATGGTATGTCTTTGAAAAACCAATGCCGAATTGACAAAGGGAAGAGTTAAGCTCCATATGGTGAGATATCAACATGGCAGCTTTGATTTCATAATTTTTTTTTGGGTAATACATGGATAACGTGGCATATCATTACTTGCGAATCATCTACGGGCATTTAGTAGTCATTAAGATGTTCAGGTATGACAAGATAAGATGTTCAAGTATGACTAAATGTAACCCTTATAAATATATATGTAAGAGTTATATTTATCGTATCACTGTGATATATGAGCAGATTCTCCTCAATCTTTATCAATAACACTACACAGCAGCATCCCTCCGGGGTATGCATGTACCCTCCTTGTTGTCCTTTATTTCTCCTAGTAGGAGATGGATCGACCTGTCTGTTCTTTTGTCTTCCAGCAGCTAAAGATTGAATGCAGTCTGACTTCTAATTGTCAAAGAGCGACGCGATCTATATTTTTCCGAAGGCATCACCTTTTGTGCCGGCTCTGACACATCTGTCGCGGGTCCCGATTCTCATTACCAGAACTCTGACATCTATCTTAACAATACGCTCATCTCTCGATCTGCAGGTCCTGAGAGAGATCGCGGCAGCTGCTTGACATTCAGGGCACACAGCGGGATGCCAATCACATTATTCAAAAGAAGCTGAAGTAACGCAAGTCTAACCCCCAGACAACCACGTAAATACCCTTCTTTGCATAACACGGTAGTTTGCGAGCTCCTCTGCATGCTGACAGCCTTCCCGAGGAGGACGCTAATGTTATCTCACAGCCGGTTAATGAGTCATTGAACCCCTGTGGAATCGATGAATAGGGAGCAGCAATCACGAATCCGTGCAAAATAACACAAACACTCATGAATATGCATATTGTCTAATGAATCTGAAGATAACCGTATTAGTGGGAAAATGTCGCGGGGACTAATGAGCGACTTGTTTTGATTTTGATTACGATTCATGAATCAGGGAGCTATATGGATTTGCGTCGCTATCATCTGCCTGGAAAACATCGTAAACAAAGTATAAAATACGCAGTGCGGAGGTATAATGTTATTTTTACTGCGCAGTTATGTAGTTTTCAGGTACTAAATGGAGAATCCTTGCCTCCGGGAAGTTTCCAGTCGTCAGAAGTGCGGGGAAATAATCTCCCTTGTTGCGTCACCTGTTGCCAGAAGGCTTGAACTCTGGCTTTATTTTCTCACCGAGGCCTAGGGTAAATGATCTTACAGATTATAGTCTAACGCCAGGGGTGGATTGTGAGACACTCTGCCAATAAAACCCACACATAGGGATGCACTTCTAAGATCGTTAACCAAAGGCGATTTGTGCTTTTGCCAAGGAAAAAGATAGAACGTTTGTTATTGCTTCTGCATATGCACCTTCACGTACGCAAACGTTTTAAAGTTAACTATTTTCACCAGGAAGAACTATTTTATGTTTATAGCTTAGTGGAAGAGAACTATTTTAGATGCAGGGTACTAAGTAGCACTTAATGTTTATAACTACCTCTTACGTGGGAGTGCGTCAACGCATTCATAACCAGTTCTCTGCGCTAACGACAGGAAGCAGGTTGGAAATTACTAACATTATCTGAGTAACAGTCACCGTGAGGGGGTTGCAGGATTGACAGTGCATTAAAAGCGAAATTTCATGTTCCACGTTTAGCACGTAAACATCATTATGTAAAAGTCTGTATCTTCGTATCAGTACTATGTTGACGTCCATGGTGCTAAATTCTTGACTGTTACAACCGGAAGTATTGTTTTGGCTGAGCTGTGAGGGTTGTGCATCTTTCTGTCCAATGCGTTGACAACACGAGGGTGATGGAAGCTTGACAGGCAGCATCGCATGCACAGCAGGAGGCCAAAAGGTCAGATTCAGTAAATGGGGGGGGGGGCGTGGAGGCCTCAGAATCTGGCCTGAAGCCAGCAGGATTCAGTGGTCGACATGGGGGAATTCAGGAAGCTAAGCATTGAATACTTCTCGAAATCCTGAAATCTACAATTTCTTATGATCTTGCCGTTTGAATCTCTTGCGTAATGAAATCGTCTCGTATTGGACTCTGCTAAAGACGTATGGTGACTGATCGATAACTGGATGCGATTTGACCGCAGTGCTTTTTTTATCAATGGCAAACAGTTAAGGTTGATTGTCGTTGCAATCGAATGGACATCCAGTTGGGTCATTATACGGACTATTACCTCCACATCAACGAACTTAACGCCCTGGTCGTATCGACTGGATGGGTAGGTACAATGTCATAAACATAGCCATTAATGCAGAGAAATTATCAGGCCCTAAGTTCATCATCGATCTTTATCCTTCCTAAGATGTCCTCAGGGGGATCGTCTTGAAAATACGCTTATATAAAAGAAATCAATAGAACCAATATCTGCACGCTGCTATCAGCATAAATGATGTACCTCTACATTCGCCTTTTTCAAAATCTGATTATGGTGGATGACCTCTGTGTCCTGAAACGTGATAAACTATCGCCTCATGGCAAAGATGCTGCAACTTGAGGAAGACACTGTGCCTGGCGTCGGGTCTCTACATATGCAACGTGAGTCATCTTAATTAAATAGATAAGGCGCTGCCCATATGAAGATTTACCCTTGTCATGTTGATAAAAGATAGAAGATTCCACATGGAGCCAATGGATATATGATCGCGAGTCTCATAAAGCAATCGCAAATGTTTTGTCAAAAAGAAAGCATGTGACCAGTAGATGCTAAAACTT